GCTTTTCCGGCGGTTTGGTTCCTACCCATTCCCATTCCAGTTATGGGGCTGGGCTGGGCTGGGGCGGGTGGGAGGGGAATCCTTTAAGCTGGGCTTCTCTGTGGCACATGGCAGTTCTAAGCAAAGAAAGCTGCTGAGTGCCCAAAGCTGTCCCGGGACCCAGAGCTCTTCACGGGTTTAATTTGTATTTGAATTGAACTTCAGCCATCTCTTCCAGGGTCCTCTGGTGAAAGCGACTACTTCTGCCAAATAAGCTAGACAATGGGATGCTTGCAGGATGAATAATACAATACCGATGTGTTAAAGATACTTTTTAAAGTCACTTTTATTTTTGTCGCTGTAAAAAGTAACATAGCTGTAATTGTGACGTGCAGTATAATACAAAATGTGTAAGGAAAACGCGTTTAACAAAAAGAAAACTGCCTCCTCCCCCTCCCCCATGTCCCTCCACCCAAATTACTGTGACCTCCTGGTGTGGAGAATTCCATACTGCCCCAGGATGTCTTTTTCATGCCTTCTTTTTTCTTTAAATATTCCATTTTACCATTCCTGGAAAGCATGTCCTTGTTTTGCATCTGGGCACAGTGGTGAAAACAGCTCGGCCCCTTAACTCACCCTCGTAGAATTTAGGGCAGAGGAATTGCAGGTCGTGATGCCTACATGAAGGATGGAGGTGGGAAAATTAAATCAGTGCAAGGGGTCTGGCTTGTAGAGAGAGGCAGGAGGAAGGGTGGTTGGGACGCTCAGATGGCCCGGGGCTCCAGTCCCAGCTCTGCCACTTACCAGCTGCCTCAGTCCCCCCCCCCCCCAAGGGAATACTGGTAGTGCCGCCCTCAGAGGGGCTTGGGGTTGATATTTGTAAAGGGCTTAGAATGGCGCTGGCTACACTGTTTCTGCGCACGTTAGAAGTGTTTAAAAATTAGTCAGATCAAGATAGTTGAAGCTATTAGTTGAGGTTGTAGTTTTAATTTTTTTTTCTATCTTGAGATTGTAGTTTTTGATGGTGATGATAATATTATTGCAGTGAAAAGATTTTCCCATTAAGAGATGGCCGTGGGGTTCTTGGCTCGGCTCTTGTCATTGGGATTTGATTTTTAGACCAAGTGGCCAAAGGACAGACAGGCTTAAGAAAGGAGGACACCCTGACTTAAAGAACTTAGTCTCTTCCTTCTTTCCTTCCTTTCCTCCTTCTCTTTCTTTTTATAGATTTTATTTATTTAATTTTAGAGAGATGAGGAGGGAGGGAGAAAGATAGGGAGGGAAATATCTATTGGTTGCCTCTCACTTGCCCCCAGCTAGGGAGGGACCTGGCCCACAACCCAGGCATGTGCCCTGACAGGAATTGAACCGGCCACCCTTTGCTTCACAGGCCTGTGCTCAATCCACTGAGCCACACCAGCCAGGGCTGGCTTTTTGTTTGTTTCTTTGTTTCACTTTTTTATTGTGAAAATATCTAAATATACCCAAATCCCATGTACTCATCCTCTAGTTTCAACAGTTTGCCATTCTTGTTTACTCTCCTACATGCTGGCGTTAGCTGTCACCAGTCACCGCGGCTCCCAGTCACTGGCCAGCCCCTACAAAGTTTGAAGTGAGCTTCCCAGAGCCCCGCCCCAAGCTGGAGATCCCGTCTGCCCTGTAATTTCTGGTTTATCAGCCCAGAGGATCAGGTTGCCTGGCAAGATAATGACCCTTAATGAGCACCTAGAAATTCAGGTTGGGTCTGTCTGTTGGCCAAGGCTTCCATTTCTTCTGTCACTTCCCAAAGGTTGAGGCTTAGCCACCATTAAGATGAGATGCCCCGGAGCAGGTTAAGCGCCTCGCATCAAGTGGTGTGCAAAAAGCATTTTCATTTTTTCAGGCCGCCACCCTTGGCAAGTCCAATCATGCTTGTCCCGACTTTCACTGCCCAGATTTGGGCCACCTGGGGAAAGGAATGCAGTGTGATAAATGAGGGCGACTCTTGTTCCTCACTCTTGTTCCTTGCTTGTGTGACAAGCCCCTAAGAAGTCCAGTTGCCCCATTACTTCTGCTGAAGTGACACAGGGAAGGGTTATTTGAAAAACACCTTGTGCTAATTTGAAAAGAAAACCCCTGTTTTAGATTTAAAGGGCAGTATCTGCCTGTCCTTGTAAAGAATGCGTTTCTCCTTGGCTTCCATGGTCATGTTAGAGCTCTTCTGTTTGTTTAGCAAATACTTGTCTCCTCGCTCCTATGCATGGAAGTAAGCAGCTCCTTAGACTTGCATGGTTTTTTTGCTTTCAAAATGTCATTCACATCCACTTCCTCAGCTAATCTTCATAAACCCTGAAAGAGGTAGGCTTGATCAGTGCTGGTGTCCTTCATGTACCAGTAGAGAAAGCTGAGGCCCAGAGAGGTTAGACATTTTGCTAAGGCCACCCAGCATGAAACATGGCAGAATCTGGGTTTACAATCAGTTGCAGACTCAGGCGAGCCCTTTCTTCTCGTCTCCCTCTCTCTGTCATTTATTGCAGCTTTCCATGGCTCACCCCACTCCACCCCCTTAAATGTGGGAAGTGAACCTGCCTATAAAAGGTGAGGGTAAGGGTCGGGGCATGGTTTAGATTTTTTTTTTCTTACCAACCGGGAGGAGGGTTGGGTGAGTGATTAAAAGGACCCAGCTCCCTTCTTGTGGACTAATAACTCTTCTGTTTTTGGCAGCTTAGTTTATTTGCTAGGTAGCAGACACCCAAATGCTGTATGAGGTTGCCTGAAATTTCTACCATGCCTGGATTCTAGCTAGGAGGCAAAAATCTTCCTTTAAAAATAGTCAAGGTCCCAAGAAAAAAAGTTTTCTCCAGGGTCGGGGAGTGCCAAACCTGAGACTAAGTAACTCATGTGAATGGTTAGTCCCAGCTGTGCCGTAAAGTAGTTATAGGGTTTCAGGCAAATATATTAACTTTTTGGGGCCTCAGTTTCTTCATCTTCAAAATGGGGCTATTTGTGGTACTTACCTTCCCACCCCCAGCACAATTTTAGTTTTTTTGGCCAGGGTGGGGCTGTCAGCTTCAGGAACATTTGCAAGGGTGTCCCCCTGGTGGCAGGAATGAAAACTGCAGCTCGAGCATTATGGGCGGCTTGGGGCTTTCTGGCAGAGACCAGCTCCTGACGTATGTAGAGGTGTCTGGCTATGTAAAATAAGAAGAAGAGCAGGAATTTTATAAAAATATCACTTGAACAAAATACAAATTCTACTGGAGGAGTGAGGGGCAATTATTTGAAAGAGAGGCAAACAGGCCAACTTGAAATTTCCCAGAATGAACAGTTTGGTCTATTCCCTCTGCCTGGAAGGCTCGAACCAGGTTTCTGCAAGACTGGTTCCTGGAAGTCTCAGCTCAGGAGAGGCCTGCCCTCTCCATCCGATACAAGTTACGCTTTCCCCAAACCTCCCTGCCCCTCTCTCATTCTTTATATCCACTGACATTGATCGCCGTTTCCAGTTTTTGGTTTTGGTGTCTATCTCTTCCACCATAGTCTAAGTTCATTGGAGCAGGTGACACAGCCGTGTTCATGGTTTTGATGCCCAGCACAGTTTCTGGCACAAGGCGTGGTGGAAAGCTTATGAATGAGCCCTTCGAAATTCTGATGTTTTAGTGCAGATGCTTTTCACTGTAGCTTCTCTAGCTTTGCGTATTAATAACTTTCAAAGTTTTAGTACTTTAATAACTAAAGTTTTTTTTAAACTAGTTTTGTCTTTTAGCTTGGGTGAGGGGTCATAAGTCCCCTCACCCAAGCAGTCCTCTGCTTTTTGTTTTTGACTTGCCTCCTCGTAAGATCAGGTTGAAGTATCCTATGAAACCTTCTTTGGCCCTGGCTGGGGTGGCTCAGTGGATTGAGCTCTGGCCTGCGAATGAAAGGGGTTGCTGGTTCAATTCCTAGTCAGGGCACGTGCCTGTGTTGCAGGCCAGGTCCCTGGTTGGGGGCATGTGAGGGGCAACCTGTCGAAGTATCTCTTGCATGTCAGTGTTTCCCGCCCTCTTTTCCTCCCTTCCCATCACTCTAAAAATAAATAAAATATATTTTTTTTAAAAAGAAACCTCCATCGTCTCCAGTGACAGCCATCAGTTTTTCCTCTGCACCCTGCAAGCAGGAATTACCTCTCTGTCTCGCATAATAAGCATATAGTCAGCATTAATTAAATATCTACAATTGACTAATGTTTTTGGTGGAATACTCATAGGGGTTGAAATTTTTTATTTAACAAACTTTAATGTAGTACTTCTGTGCCAGACACTGTCCAGTGTATCTAAAAAACAACCTTCTTTTTATAGATAGGTAGACTGAGGCATGAAGAGATCTAATAGTTCTCCTAAAGTCATAGAGTTAGTAAGCAGAACTGGGAGTTGAACCCAGGGAGACTGGTCCAGAGTCTATACTCAACCAGTATTTCTTCCTGGCTCTCTCTTACCTCCCACTGTTTATTGAGTTGTAAACTATTTATTGACTTTACTGATATTTAGAAAAAGAGAGAAACACCAGTTTGTTTTTCCACTTATTTATGCGTTGATTGGTTGGTTCTTGTATGTGCATCAGTTGGGAGGATGCTCTAAACGATCGAGCTGCCCAGCCTGGGACATAAACTATTTAAATGCAGCCTCGCCACGGCATCCAAATGTAGCATAGTCTCTTAACTTTTGGACTCAATAGGTATTCTGTCTCCATTGCTTTAGTGGCTTGTTTTCCTATTGTAAAGAGCCATCTGAAAGGAGAAGCCCCTTTTATTGTTGCAGAAGAGAAGTTACTTTCTAGGCGGGTTTGCTGTTTCCCTTCACAAGTAGTTGAGGGGAAGAATCAGATCCTCTAACTGTGAAGAACATGATATCGGCGTGGTTCTGTCACCAGACTGTGGTTTGATTTGCTGGTACTTATTTTGTGTGAGTCAGGCTTTTGGTAGGTGAGTCCAGTTTGCTTTTTAGAGAAGGAAAGCATTTGTTTTTAGTCTGCTCTATTTCTTAATCGCTGTGATTTATGCCCTGCAGTGAGTTTCGAGGGATGCACCGGTCAGCCGAGGACTGTCTATGTTTCTGATGACACCAGAATCAAAGTGGGCGTGGATGGTGTGCTGACGGTCAAACGGCCCTTACAACTTCGCAGTCCAGAGATGAGCTTTCTCGTTCACGCCTGGGATGCCACCCGCAGGAAACTCTCTACCAAGGTGACACTGAAGGCAGCCACGCGTGACAACCGCCACCGCCGCCACAACAGCCATCCTGATGTACGTTGGCGCTTCTCTCGACAAAAGCTCGCTATGATTTCAGTCTTGCTTCCCAATCCAGGTTGCTCTGCTTGGCACCATTCGGATTTGGGGCTGGATAATTGTTTGTTGTGGGGCTGTCCTGTGCACTGTGCTCTCTAGGGGTATCCTTGGTCTTACCCCACTGGCTACTAGTGGCACATCCCCAGTTGTGACAACCAAAGATGTCTCTAGACACTGCCAGTGTCCCCCCGGGGGGGCAAAGTTAGCTCACAGTTGAGAACCATTAGTCTAGTTGAACTAATTCTTGTGTTTGTTTTGTTTTTGTTTTTTCCTCCCCATGGCACATGTTTTCATTGCTTTTAGAGAGAGAAGAAGGGGGAAAAGAGAGAGAAAAACATTGATCCCTTGCTTCCTGTACATGCCCTGACCCCGGGGGTCAAACCCACAGCCCTTCAGCATACGGGGTGTTGCTCCAACCAGCTGAGCCACCTGCCAGGGCTGAACTGATTCTTGCTGGGGATTTTTTGTTGCTGTTGGGTGGAGAGTGATCAGGCGGAATGATGGGAAGACGTCATTACCTTTATTTCTGTGGGTGGTATAGAATAGTGGGCAAGGGCGTGGCCCCTGGGACTGAATCCCAGCCCTGCCATTTACTACCTGAGTAACCATGGGTACTCAGTCCATGCTTGAATTTCCTTATCTGTGAGATGGAGATAATAATGACTGCATGAATTAATACATGTGAAATGCTAGAAACACACCAGGCATATAATAAGTACTCAGTAATTGTTGACTGTTCTTATCATTCCCTTCCTAGAGGAAGAATGAGTAAGAGGTCAGTTCTCTGACCATTTTGCTCTTTGTGTTTCTAGTGGAGAGGGTCTTGGCAAAGGAAGGGCAGAATCAGTGGGAAGCTTTCGCATCACTGGACTGTAATTTATACCAGACCCTCCCCCAGTATATTGCAGTGCCCGGCCCTGGGTCTGGCACCTGCCGGGAGGCCACTGAATATTCAGTGGACAGACAGACGGACTGGCCGTGAATGAAAAGATAGATGTATGCCTGTCCCCGTCCTTGGCAAGAGTGTTTCTGGGTTCTGAGTCATTACCCGAAGCCGAAGGCCTCTGCCAGTTTCTAAACTGCTCCCGTGGCGCTTCCTGCCCCAGTGTTTCTCTGGGGAGCCATTCTGGTGGCTTCTGAAACTGCCTTGGAAGTGTCGAACGGGTTCTAAGTGCCAGGGTCTTGTGAGCTCGTTCCTGTTTTTCTCCCCAAAGATTCCTGAGATTCTGGGAACTTAATAGTCCTTATGGGTTACAATTGTTCTTCCTGGTGTAATCGGACAGACCAGAGAAATAAGGAACTTAGCAGAGTTATATTAACATAGCTCCCTGACTCAAGTATTCAAATGACCGGAGTTCACATGAGTTCAGCACGGCGAGTCTGTGCTGAGAAAGGCTGTGCTTGAAAGCCTCTTATGACCAAAGACAGTTTTAAACTTGGCTTTTCCGCTTTTCCTCCCACCTTTGCCTCTGCCTCCATGTCTGCTGAATTGTGATTGGGTTCAAATGAATGTTAGGGAAAAACACAAACCACAGTAGTTTATGCAAAATACAGTATTTCTCTTGCCAGTAAAGGAAGTCCAGGTTAAGGGTCAGTTGTGGCCCCTGTGGAGACCCCACAGTCATCTGGAGCCCAGGTTCCCTCTTTCCTTCCTGCCCTGTCACCCCTCAGTTCACGGTTTCAACCCGAAAGGATTCCTCCCGACCCAAGGGGGCTGTTCTAGCGCCTGCGATCACAACGTCATTCTAGGTGCCAAGAAGGAGAAAGGAAGACAGAAATGTGTTTCCTCCCTTTATTGCCTAGCTGTTTTTTTTTTAAGAAGGCTTTGTGGAATTCTCAGGAAATACTTTTGCTTATATCTCATTGGCTACAACTTGGCCTTGTAGACACCCATAGCTGCAAGTGTGGTACAGGAAATATAGTGTTTTACTTGGGTACACTGCTGGATACAAAGTTCACACACACAGACACACACACACACACAGCGGGGAGGGGGGAAGACAGGTTTTTGTTTTTAAAGAAGAAGAAGAGAGTGGATATTAAGTGGGTGGAGCAGCTCTGCCAGAGCTGGTTTGCAGTCCACGTGGCTTTGTAGTTCAAGGGACCCTCGCAGAGCTAGATGGTCCTCATTCAGAGAAGGGATGACAGTCTTACCTTTCTTTACATTAGTGTAAGAATACATTTTTTAGACCTGATCTTATTTGTCTATTAAAACATCACATTGTTCACCCTAAATACGTACAAGTATTTGTCAGTTATGCCCAAATAAAGCTGGGGAGAAAATAAGAGTAGATGTAACTTTCCGGTTCTTTCTCTTTCTTTGTGCGGATTTTCTGATGTACCCTTTTGTCTGAGGGCTGAGGTCCACGTTCAGTGTGCTTACGCATGAGTCCCTTTAATTTTACACGTGAAGATGTCACTGTTACGTTTTGCCAGCACGGTGTTCATCATTGTTTATTATCATTCCCCTGAAAACGTCCTGTAATCCTGATGTCAGCGAGGCACAGTCTGTCTTCCTCCTCAGTGGAGCAGGTGAATCTGTGTTTGTGTATCACACCTGTTCGCCACCATGGCTGTGCAGAAGGGTTGTTTTTAGGCTTCGATTACAGTATTGACAGTTTAATACTCGTTTCTATGCTGGGGGTCAAGCCCCACACTTGACTTTGTTCAAACCATCACGTGCTGTTTTCCAACCAGTGTAGCCATCATCGTCAGGTACTGAGCACTTACTGTTTGGGATACTACTGGCAATCCTAGTACCTCACTTAATCCTCCCAAGAGTCCGATGAGGTGTGGGTACTCATATCATCCCCGTTTTAGACCATGGGGCACTGTGGGACAGAGAAGTTAAATAACCTGTCCAGGAGATGGAGGTGCCACAGTGAGGATTCAAAGCCAGGCAGTCTGGCTCCAGAGCTTGCCCTTGGCCGAGGCAGGGCTGCTTCTCTAGGAGATGGGTGTGTGTGTGACCAGTACGCAGAATTGGGAAGGACTTTGTGAGGACATCTGGTCTCATCTCATATCTGTCTTGTGAATTTTGAGTCACAGTGTAAAAGCCAGGAAGTCGGACTTGACTTGTGCTTGGCAAACCATGATCAGTGACTGTGTAGAGGGTGGGGAGATGGAATAGTCTTCTGGAACCTTTGCCGTGTTCCCACTCATCGCTTTAGAACACTAAAACAATTTGGGAGATTTTTTCCCTTCCAACTCCAGCTATCTTATTTCCCTGTGTGTGCATAAAGTCATCACTATCGCCTCTGAAAACTGTCCAATACAAGTCTCAGAGGGTGTCCTAACAGCTTCTGTTCAAACAAATGGAAACTGTATAGATATAATGGCTTCGTGAGATGAAGGGGTTTGTATTGATCACAAAGTAATTCTTAGTACTAATTCCCCAAATTTACTTATTTTGGCTGATAAGTCCACTTTGGGGACCCATAACTCTAGGAAAAACATAAAGAAAAAGAAAACACCAGAATGTCCAGTTGTTGAAAAAGTTCTGATATGAAATCATCGTAGTATAATGTTCTGTTAAAAAAGACAGGTGTGATTTGTAAAATATATGCTTATCTAACCACTATGCTGTACACCTGAAACTAATACAACATAATATTAAGTGTAAATTATAATTGAGAAATAAAGTTTAAAAAGCATGACGTGTGTGATATTGTGGGCTTGACATTACTTATCAAGTAATGTCAGACCCACAAACTGGTAATCGCGCATGCATCATGAGTACTTGAACTCTGGACACTAAAAGATCAAAAGAGAACACCTTCTTTATTGTTGTTCATTGGGTTTTGTGTTAGCTGTAAATTATCTCATTTTGTCCTTCACCTTTTTTCCTTTTAGGAATTTCTCCCTGGGCTTCAGATGGAAGTGCTCACGTTTCCTGACTCCCGCCGTGGTCACAGAAGACAGAAGAGAGACTGGGTTATTCCTCCCATCAGCTGCCCAGAAAATGAGAAGGGCCCATTTCCGAAGAACCTGGTGCAGGTAGAGAAGGAAGTTCTCTATTTCTTCGGGAGGAATGTGGCAGAGAAGGACCAAGGAGGGGAAGGAGAAAGACCCAATGTAAGGAACCTTCCTTGCTGATTCTGCTTTTGTTTTTTGTCTTCAGATCAAATCTAACAAGGACAAAGAAACACAGGTTTTCTACAGCATCACTGGCCAGGGAGCTGACACACCCCCTGTTGGCGTGTTTATTATTGAAAGAGAAACAGGATGGCTGAAAGTGACGATGCCTCTGGATAGAGAAGCGATTCCCAAGTACACAGTGAGTATCTCTTTGAAGCTTGTTGTTAATGATGGGGTCTCATCCTTCCAAAGCTTTTGGTCAACCCATGTGGCATCCCTAGATCCAGTGCTGCAGATGTGTGAGGAGCTTATTTGGACACCTCAAGACCTATTGATAAGCATAAATGGCAGGAGAACCTGGATGAGGGGCAGGGGAGAGTCCTTATGCATAATGCATGCATGAGTTTAGACCCAAGATATCGACCTATTCTTGGAGCTAAAAGGATGCTTCCTGACCCGAAGGAAGCATCCAGTGATGATGCTGGGGAGCAGAACCCATTTCTGGGCCTTGGTAGCAGTGAGCTTAGGGAAGCCGGGATCTTTTTCCTGGGTCTGGCTCCCCAGCCCTTGTGTGGGGAACAGGAGCTCTGACCTGGTGGGCGTGTCCTCCAGCCTAAAGGTTTGCACGTGTCATGACCTCAGCTGGTGTCGTGGTCTCGCGGAAGCAGCAGCAGCGCATGTGCGAGAAAAGGCCTCTGCTGTGGGTGTCCCTGTCCTTGGGTCCTGGAGCATGGGAAAGAGAGGGACGCCAGGTGGAGCCCACTCTTTGGTCAGGCCACTTCTCCCACTTCCTCTTTCCTCCTCGTGGCCTGAATGACACTCACTTGGCTCTTGCAGCTCTTCTCTCATGCGGTGTCTTCAAACGGGAATGCAATTGAGGACCCGATGGAGATTGTGATCACAGTGACAGATCAGAACGACAACCGGCCCGAGTTCACCCAGCCGGTCTTCGAGGGGTCTGTCATGGAAGGCGCTCTTCCAGGTAACAAGGAGTCAACTATCCAGGAAGTCAGATTCTTTGGACCTCGAAGAGTGGGGGCTGGCGTTTGGGGTCAAGCCCTTCGTGTGGGTAGATAGCACTTCTTTGGAAGCGGCTGTGTGTGTGTACTGTGTGTGTGCAGGCCTGCAGCACCTGACCTGTAAAAACATGTATGAAATGGGAGCACTGGAAAAACAGCCTCCCCTGATTAAACAGATCCTTGCCAGCAGTTTGAGTCCCGCATACCGTTTTTCTGATCATATTTTTTCTCTTTCCCATAGAGGTAGAACTGCCCTGACCTTTGTGGTAATTATTCCCACCCCCAACCACCTTTTTAAAAAATTTATCTTCTACCGTGTGTGTTTTTACTTACCCCTAGAAGTTTTGCCTACTTTCCTAAACTGTTTTCCAAGGTGGCCAAACAATTTACCCTCCCACAGGCATTGTGTGTCCTGGAATTATTAGACTTTCTGGCTTTAGTCAATGGGTAATTATATCTCGGTGCCATTCAAACTTGCATTTCTCTGATTATTAACAGGCTAAACATCTTATCACATGTTTGTTTGGCCATTTGAGTTTCTTTTTTACTTTACCGCTTATCTGTTCAAGTCTTTTGTCCCTTATTCTCTTGAGCTGTTTATCTCTTTCTTATAAACTCTTAGAGTTATTGAGATGTTCTAGGAACTAGTCCTTTGACAGTCCCATGTGTTATAAATTTTTCTTCCACCTTAAAAGCAGTGGTCTCAAACGACCCATTCTCTCCAGGAAGCTATGGCTGAGAAGCCAATTGCAGAAGTCATGGGATTTTTTTCCCCTGCTTCTCAGGCTATTCTGTCAGTATAAGAGACATGAGAAAATGGTTCAGGTTATTTATTCCCCATCTCCTCCTCACCTCCACCCCCACCCAAAACATCTGCTGGAAAAGCTGGATTCTCAGAACACCACTCATCTGGTGGAAGGTTTTCTTCCTCCTGTAGCACTTTGGTAAGAAATTTGGAAACTAGCCAGCAGAGGTGCAGTGACATGGTATTGTCCCCGGGGCCCTGCTTTCACACTGTGGACACATCTGAACTGAGCGGTATTGACCAGCCCCTGAGGCACACATAGTTTGACTAAATCTTCCTCTCCTTCAATGCTTCCAGGAACCTCTGTGATGCAGGTCACGGCCACGGATGCAGACGATGAAGTGAACACCTACAATGCCGCCATTGGTTACAGCATCCTTAGCCAAGAGCCTTTGCAGCCTCACAAAATGTTCACCATCAACAAGGACACAGGAGTCATCAGCGTGCTCACCACCGGCCTGGACCGTGAGGTCAGGGGGGAGAGATCCAGAGGCGGTTGTGGGCAAATGCACATTAGTTAGGTCCATGGGCAGCGCAGGACGCTGCTGAGGCCAGCTACCCCTTGGACGGTCGTGCTCTGAGCTTTGCGTCTGCCAGGGGTTCCGTGCCTGGCAGACAGGCTGGCGGACCAGCATTTAAGCAGATGATCAACTGTTTGTTTCTGTGCTATGGGCTCTGCTGATGCGGCTGTCGGTCCTAACTCGGGTGTGTTTGGTCTCTACAGAATATTGCGACGTATACCCTAGTGGTTCAAGCTGCTGACCTTCAAGGTGAAGGCTTAAGCACAACTGCAACTGCCGTGATCACGGTCACTGACATCAACGACAACTCTCCTATCTTCGACCCAAGCACGGTAATTCTGCACTTCCTGGGTGGTTTCCCGGGAAAGGTCCTTTGTCGCTTTACAACTGCTCCTGAGTGAACTTTTTGCAAACTTTCCCCAGACTAGTGAACTTTAGACTAAGAAGTAAGCAAATCGAGCCCTGGTTGGTGTGGCTCAGTGGACTGAGTGCCAGACTGTGAACCAGAGGGTCACTGGTTGGATTCCCAGTCAGGACACATGACTGGGCTGCAGGCCAGGTCCCCAGTAGGGGACGCCTGCGAGGGGCAACCACACATTGATGTTTGTCTCCCTCTCTCTTCCTTCCCCTCTGTCTAAAAAATAAATTTTTTTTTTTTTTAAAGTAAGCAGATTGGGGTGGCAGTTGTCCCTGTCTGGTGCCTAAATGTTTTCCTGATTAGACACTGTATTAGACACTGGAGATATTATTACAAACAAGGCAGACAGAGATGTCATTCTCATGAAGTATATAGTCTAGCTATGGAGATATTAGACAACGTAAATGACTTACTGTGCCCCAAAACGCAGTCCAGGAGAAGGGGCTGAGTCATGTGAAAGAGCCTTAAACCTTATTGTGTTTGTTAGAAAGCAGCTCAGTGGTTAGTAGCAGAGTCTGGATTCCTGGGGTTTTGGCAGAAGGGTTGGCTTTTTTTCTCTTATGTTCGAAACACCCGGGTGGATAGTCTGCTCTGTCAGTAGAGACCAAGCCTCCACTGTCTTGCTGTCCCACCAACCTTGGTGCCTGACTTCCATCCTCAGCGCCACCTTGTGGCTCAGGGTGGCTGCTGGGACTGAGCCACCTGTGCGCTTCATTCAGGAAGGAGGCAAGGGCAAGGGGTGCAAAAGGTGTTGCTAAGTCCTCTTATTTCTGGAAAGACCCATCCTACAAATTCTGTTTATATCTCACTAACAACTGCGGTCAGCCAAGGAAGACTGGCCATACGCTGTCTTATTTGGGAATGTTGTCGCCACCACCAATACAGTGGGTGAAGAAGGAGAGAATGGACGTTCAATAGGCCATTAGCAGTGTCCACCACCTTCACCTAGGCATTGTGACAGTGAATAACATTTATAGTAAGACTCGAGGACGTTGGCAAATGTGAGATGGGGAGGGTGGAAGAGTGTTGAGGCAGAGGGACCAGCATAGGCAAAATGCATTGAATTAAGCTTGATGTGTAGCAAGAACTGTAAAAACAGCGCAGAAACAAGTGAGGTCGGGTCCTGTAGGACCTTGTAAGCTGAGCTAAGAATTGCAGAATTTTTTAACTCAGTCAATAACTGGGCCAAAGTGAGCTGAGGGGCTTGGATAGCCAGGGCCTTGCAAAGCCAGTTCAGGGACTGGTGAAGGAGGATGCTCCTGAGAGCTAGCTGGTCCATGGACAGGAAGCAAGGGCCCTGCTCTGGAGGGACCACTTCCTCCGAGACTCTTCTCTGCTACACCTGGGCTCAGAAAGCATTCCCTTAGCCCTCTGAGACCTACATTCATTCTCGTGTCTCAGGATGTCATATGTGACCCGTCTTCTCCTTTGTTCTGCAGTACCAGGGGCAGGTCCCTGAGAACGAGGTTAATGTTGTAATCACTACGCTCAAAGTGACTGATGCCGATGTCCCCAATACCCCGGCGTGGGCGGCCGTGTACACCATATTAAATGATGAGGAGGAACAATTTGTTGTCATCACAGACCCAGTAACCAACGATGGCCTTTTGAAAACAGCTAAGGTTTGTATGATGCCTGGCACGATGCAGAAACTTGACAGCCCGGCTGTTAGTAGCTGCCCACTCCCTGGTCCCGGTGTCCTCTAAGCAGATTAGCGTGGTGCCGGTGGGGTAGGGGTGGCTGGATCGCCCAGGTGCTGTGGACCATTTGGGGTCTGCAGTGACACTTCAAGCTCCTATGAGAAGTCAGGACCAGCACCCTAAAATTGAAAAGGAAGTACCATCTGTTGTAATAGGTTCTTTCCCTGAAACATTTGCCTACAGCTCATATCTATTTTACAAATGAGAGCAAAAATGGTTTACTGGTCTCTGCTATTTTGCTGGATTATTTTACAAATGGGCCTTATATGACTGTGTTTGAATGATGTCTTAGAGCCTTGGTCGGGTTGCTCACTTGTTTAGAACGTTGTCCCAATACCCCAAGGGTGCAGGATCAGTCCCAGTCAGGGTACGTTTAAGAATCAGTCGACGGCCCTGTCTGGTGTGGCTCAATGAATTGAGCACCTGACCGTGAACCAAAGGGTTGCTGGTTCAGTTCCCAGTCAGGGCACATGCCTGGGTTTTGGACCAGTTCCCAGCAGGGGGCGCACAAGAGACAACCATACATTGATGTTTCTCTCCCTTTCTTTCTCCCTCCCCCTTTGTCTAAAATAAATAAAATCTTTTTTTAAAAAAAAAGAATCAACCAAGGAATGCATAAACGAGTGGGACAACAAATTGATGTTTCTGTCCCTCCAAAATCAATTTTTAAAAAAGATGACTTGAAAGCTAAGAAGTTGAGTGGTGGTGGTTGTCGACGGTAGAGAGTTGACAGATCTCTGGATCAGCCCCACCCACAACTTGGACTTCCTCTCAAGCCAGTGAGAGGACCCTTCATTTCTGAGTTACTTAGCACATAATCTTATCTCCCACTGAACATGGATGTCACCAGTTTTTGTTATTATTCTATCTATCACCTGTAAAAAGAACCTAGTAATTTGAGTGCCTGCTACATAAGGCTTTCATAAAAATCCCCAGTTTACTCTTTACAGCACCTCTGTGAGGTAGTTCCTTTTCCCACTTACTTGGGTATAGAAACAGACCCAGAGGGTACGTCGCCCAAATTGCACAGGTAGGAACTGGCCCAGCTGGGATCTGACCTGGTTGCTAGCTGATTCTAAACTCCCTGGGTTGGTGAGGGGGACAAGCAGGATCTCCTGTCCCTCTGCTGTCTATGGACAGCTTGTTGTGCAGGATGCGAACATTCCAACTGGTGTTCATGTGCAGGTGTTCGTTAGCCGAAGCTCGCTGTTGCAGATTTCGTGAGTTCATGTTCTTCTGGGGTTCTCAACTTCAGTGCAGCCAGGTTTGAGGAGCACTGATAAATTGTTCACAAAAGCAGTAATAGTTAAGGCTTTCACTTTTTCTGTTGACATAAACATTCTTTAAACTCATTTTTCTGCTCTTTAGGGCTTGGATTTTGAGACCAAGCAGCAGTACATTCTCTACGTCACCGTGAAGAATGTGGCCCCCTTTGATGTCACTCTGCCCACGTCCACAGCCACCGTCACTGTGGACGTGATGGATGTGAATGAAGCTCCCATTTTCATACCCCCCCAAAAGAGAGTGGAGGTGCCTGAAGACTTTCCAGTGGGGCAGGAAATCACATCCTACACTGCCCAAGAGCCGGACGTATTCATGGAACAGAAGATAACGTAAGTGTGGGTTTTTCAACGGACTTGCAGCAACTGAGTGTGTGTATGCGTGTGTATATATAAAATATATTTTTGAAGATTTTATTTATTCATTTTTAGAGAGAGGGGAAGAGAAGAAGAAAGACACCAGTGTGTGGTTGCATCTCTCATGCCCCCCACTGGGGACCTGGCCCACAACCCTGGCATGTGCCCTGACTGGGAATCGAACTGGCAACCCCCTAGTATGCAGCCCACTGTGCTCATTCCACTGAGCTATACCAGCCAGGGTGAAAATACTTAGTTCACAGTGTTTTATCATCATTGGTCTATGCAAGACACTTCTCTTAATTGGTTTTTAATTTTTTTTTCTTTTTATACGCTTTCCCTACACCTTCTCCATTCCCTCCACAGCCAGCCATTCTAGGTTTACTGTGCTCCTTCTCTTTGAGCTCACGTAGTATAGTGGGAATGCGGCTGTAATTTACATACATGGTATTGTTTAGAAGTAGTTTGTTGCTCTCTTTAAACTTGAAGGCACCTCTATAGTGTAAATTACAGCCACGGGCACTGAAAACACACACAAAACTAAGGGCAACAATGTCCTTAGACTTCTGAGAGCTGGGTTTGACTCAGGAAAAGTTTAGAGCCCAAACATGGCACGTGTGTCTCGTTAGTGACAGTGTGGTTTCCTGGGGTAGAAGAGGCCTTCCTGGTCGTGCTCACTTCTCAGGGAGGGAGATTACTACTTGTTAATATCTACTTTAGAGGAATGGATCAGAATAATACTCTGAACTGTTTGTAACAATGTTAACGCAAATCCAGAGTAGAGTCATGCTTGGTAATTGCGTGTGCTCTTGTCGTGGACGGTGTTTATGTTTTGACTTCAATGCCTGTGACTTACGAAACTTAAAACAGACAGGCAAAAAGAATTTGTGTGACATCAACTTCTGAGGTTATTCTGGAAGTGTTCATTCTACCCTGAATGAAAGGGCTCGTAAATACCTTTAACCCTGCACGCGCTACACAGGATGAGCTGTGTAAAGGGTCCCGTTAGTGATCTTCATGGCTCTGGGCATCACCGGGTCAAGGACAATGCGGAGTTTTAAAATGGAGGAACCAGGCAGATGACACCCACACCTTCTGATTAATTTTAACATTCACTGAAAAAAGCAGGGACTGCTCAACTTGATGTGCTCCTTGATGAGATTCAGTAGCGTGTGTTCAGCGCCACTAAAGAAATCTCAGAAAAAAACAAAAGTTGAAACAGAATCTAATCAAGTCTTAGGATCTGACTTTGAAGAATTACAGGGAATGAAGAAACAAGTTCAGTGCCAGGAGGAAGTGGACAGCCACATTCAGAATGTGGGAATTGTGTGACAAATGACGTTTCTTCAACAAATAAGTGGCAAAAGGGTGAGGGTGACCACTCTAAAGAGTATTGAGACTAATCAACCAATTGTAATGTGTACACTGTGCTTGAATACAGGTTCAGCAACCCAACTATAAAAGGTACCCTCGAGTCCTCGCTGGTGTGGCTCAGTGGGTTGAGCACCGGCCTGTGAACGGAAAGGTCGTTGGTTCGGTTCCCAGTCCAGGCACATGCTTGGGTAGTGGGCCAAGTTCCGGGCTGGGGTCATGTGGGAAGCAACCGATCAATGTGTCTCATGCACATGGATGTTTTTCCTCTCCCTCTCTCTTTCTTTCCCTTTCCCTCTCTCTAAAAGTAAATAAGTAAAAGAAAAAAGTACCCTTGAGGCAATTAGAGAAATTTGAACATAGACTTGGCATTAGATGACATTAATTATTAGTTTTTGTTGGGTGTGTTGGGGCATTGTGATCATATATTTAAAAAAACTTTTACCTATATAAGATATATACTGAAGTATTTACAGAAGAAATCTTCTAATGTTTGAGATTTGCTTTAAAATACTGTAATTTTGTACTTGTAGTCAATATACTGCTTGTAATCCAGGGATTCTTCCAGGTGGTCCAAAATGTAAAAGCTGATAAGATGGGTTTCTGACCAAAGAGCAAAAGGAGAGTAAAGAGCCAAAGGCAATATTGTAGTGTTTACGATCAGTGATGAAGCCCCGGATTATACAGCTTCCGGCTGGCTCCATATCTTAGCTTGCAGTAGTGAAATAGGTAGTTCAAAGCCTCTCTTGGTCCAGTTGAGGGACCACGTGTTAGTAGTGTGTGAAGAGGCCCTTACCCCTGGATAAAGACCACTCTATGAAAGTCATTGCTTTGCACTTCTAAGGAAATGAGGATGAAACCACAGGTGCCCTTACCTCCTTCGGTTTCTTTGCTTCCCTTTCCGAGCCCTTCCGTGACCCCCGTGAATGACTGAGCAGCAAAGCTCTGTTTTTCATATGCTGTTGTTTCTTCTGATGGAGTTTTTTTTTTTTGGTCCATTGGAACCCACGGGGGTTGTCAGTGCAGTGAAACCAAACTGACAATGTTAGAAAGCAGACAGTGACTTTGGAGCATGGCCTAGTAAGAACCTGGCATTTGCCTCTCCGTTTGGCAGCAGCTAAGGCATTCACACACACCATTATGGTAGCACAGAAAGATGGTGGAAAGGACTCTCTCTGCATTTTGAATAAAACCTTTTTTTTTTTCTCTGCAAGACCATAAGGAGCTTTAGCCTCCCTCACACCTACCATTAAATGCCAATGCAACAGCCCATCCCCAGGTTACTGTGTCACCCCAAATCTCCAAACGCTAATGGTACAGGTGTTGGGTGGCAACGCCCTCTGAGAACTTTTGGGGAGCTCTTCTGAAAGAGCTTGCTTTTAAAAATACAGAAGAATCACAGTACTCGTAGCTAGGTGAGATTCAACCATAGATGCTGAATCTATGGGGTGAAAGTTAGTTTGCACACAATGATCTCCCTTCAGATTATAGATTAACTGTAAAGAGGAAGATAATACCTTCACTATGAAGAAGCCTGGGGGCCCCTCCTTATCCAAGTGATCAAAGGGAACCTGATAAAAAGAAGAAGCAGACACCGTGTGCCTCCTAATGAGATGCACCAAAAAGGACACAACATCACCGGTGTGGTGTTCTCGCTTCTGCCCCACGAATGCTTCACTAAATTTAATTATGGGGGAATAATCAGACAAATCCAAATGAAGGGGCTTTCTACGAAACAACTGACCTGCATACTTCCAAAATGTTAGTTTTAAGAAAGAAAAGAGAGGCTAAGGAATGGTCCCAAGTGGGTGGAAACCGAATAAACACGACGCCTGAGTGCCATGCATGACCCTGGACTGGGTCCTGGATCAGGGCAGAGGTGCTGCTGTATAGGACAATTTTAGAGAAACTGACAACGTGAATATGCACCACATATTTGTTAGTAATATTGTATCAAGGTTATGTTTTCTGACATTGAAAATCTAGTTGATTATATTAGAGACTACCTTTATTCTTTGCAGATAGCATATTGAAGTATTTGTGAGTCAGGGAAAATCATACCTGGAACTTATTCTCATGGTTCAGCCAAACAGAACGTTGAGTGTATGCATGTCAGCTTTTGTACAGAGTGAAACATTAACAACGGGTAGATCTAGGAGGAGGGTGCATGAATGGTCAGCATATTTTTCTGGCAACTTTTGTATAGGTGTGATTTTTTTTTTTTTAATGTGAAAGTCAAAATTGAAAGAAGTTGGAACTGAACTTCAAAGAGGAACGTTAGAATTCATCAGCTACCTGCGGATGGCTGTTCCCTCTCTAACCCAGAGCTCGTGCCTTTCCAGGTATCGGATTTGGAGGGACACTGCCAACTGGCTGGAGATTAACCCAGACACTGGTACCATTTCCACTCGGGCTGAGCTGGACAGAGAGAACACTGAGCATGTGAAAAATAGCACATATACGGCCCTCATAATAGCCACGGACAACGGTAAGGACACCCTTCCCCTCTGGCCTTTGCCGCCTCAGCTCGCTTGCTCGCTTCCCTGCCCTCGCCCCTTCTTTTGGAGGCATCAGTTCCTTCTTTTTCTTTTATTCTTAAACAAAAGCATTCTCTTTGTCAAAAATGCAAATAATTTGGGTCAAGCAGGGGTCCCTTTTCACTGTTCCCTCTGTACCTGAACCCCACTTCTTCCAGGAGTCAGACTGCTTGAGTTAGCTCAGAGGACCAAAGCTGAATATCTACGTGACCTTGGACTTAACTGCTGAATTTTTATGTCCGTTCCTTTATCTGACAAAATGGTAATATCCTGTTAGAATTCACATGAGTTATTTTATGTAAAAAGTGCCTGTTAACATAGAACATGCACACTGAGGACTGTCCATATTGTTTTGAATATATGTTTTTAAGACACGGGGATGTATCAGGGCAGCTTGTCAGTCTGCAGGCATGCATCAGAGCTACTGTGGGTTCAGTTCTAGACCTCCACAATATAGCGACTTACAATCATTTTGCCAGTGGAAGGTCTTGCTTTCCCTATGGAAAAATTACAGCATAAATAAATAAAAGCAATGCACAACAAAACAGGGTATGCCTGTACATCTTTTCAATAAAATGCCCTAATCTGGATACAGTATAATTTAATCATTTGCTCATTAAAAGACCACTGGGGTTGCTTTCCATTCTTCACTATTTACATGAGTGATAAAGTAAATGTCCTTGTACATGCTTCTGCATGCAACTGTTTCCCACAAATAGATACTCAGAAGCAGAATTACTGTTAAAAAAACCCTGCTAGCGGTTCCTGTGATTAAATTCTCTTCCCTTTTCTCATTCCTCAACCTTCCGAGGTAGTAATTCCAGACTTGACAATCTGGTAAGCAGAGGGAAAGGCGAGTAAGGCCATGACGGGACTCTGTTTGCAAAGTGCTTTTGCTTAGAGGGAAAGCTAACCCATTGCTCCAGCTGCCTTCCACACTGGCCTGAGGCAAGCTGAAGGGATGGCATCTAAACCAAGGGCCAGCAACCTTTCTCTAAAGGGCCAAGGATCAAACAGTTTAGTCTCTGTGGTCCATGTAGTCTTGGCTGCCAGTGTAGTCTAGAAGTATCATAGAAAGTCTTTGAAGGAATGAGCATAGCTGTTTTCCTAGTTTGGCCAGAAAGCCGTACTTGGCTGACCCCTGAACTAATAATGGCTAAGCTGTGGTTGTTCTGAATTATTCCTTAATTTTGTGCTTAACTCAACAGTTCTCAGTGTAGGTCTAAGAGGAGAAGGGAGTTTCATCAGGAAATCTATCAGCTCATTAAAAAAAAGGTTTTTTTTTTAATGAAAAATTTTAATTGATACCTGCTCATTGTTAAAAAACAATTTACATGATAAAATAAAAAATTCACCCATGGATGAGTGGATAAACAAATGTGCATACACACAGTGGAATATTATTCAGCCTTAAAAAGGGAGGAAAGCTGTCACATGTTGCAACATGGATGGACAGAGAGGATGTTTTTCTAATTGAAATAAGCCAGTCACGCAAGGACAAATACTGTCTGTGTCCACTAACATGAGGTAGTAAAGTCAAACAGAGAGTGGAGTGGCAGTTACGAGGAACTGGAGAGGGTGATGGGGAGTTATTTAGTGGATAAAGAGCTTCAGTTTTGCAAGTTGGAAAAGTCCTGGAGAGCTGTTTCTCAACAGTATGAACATACTAACACTTAAAAAGATGGTACATTGTATGCTATGTGTTATTTTTAAAGCACTGCCTGCAAAAATAGATAAAAAGGAAAAGTAATCACTATAGTTTTGCCTCCCAGGTATAACTATTTACAGGTTTGTGATACAGCCCCCTGGGTTTTGTTTTTTTCTCTACAACACACTAATATTGATGACGATTTCCTGAGTGGCTACATTTTCTACTACCATATGCTACGTGTCCATCAGGATGTGGAAGAATTGCAAACAGAAGTGTGTATGAACTTGCAAGTCTATTTTGAGAGCAACTTGTAGCTATTTTTTAAAAGGCTCACCCTTTGATAATGACCTTAAAGTCATAGACATTCAGAAAAGGGAGAGCTGCTGGGGGACAGTGAGGACTTTTTGGAGTGGTAGAAGATCCATGGGTGAATTAAAGAAGGTAAAGAAGAGGAAGTGGAGGGGGTGGTCTTGGTAGAGGAATAACATGAATAATTGTTATCAAAATGGGGAATAAGCATGTCAGAGGCCTGCCCACACGGGAGTGAAGATGCCCTGAGACTGGCAGGCCAGGAGGCTCTGTGGGCACGTGGCCCTGAAGAGCCAGATGAGCCCTGGGTTCGGTCTGGTGGGAGGGAGCGGGGACGTGTCAAAGTTCCTGAGCCGTGGCACATCCTCTGTACGTCCTCTTAGGTTCTCCGCTTGCTACTGGAACGGGAACCCTTCTCCTGGTCCTCTCCGATGTGAATGACAACGCCCCGGTCCCACAACCTCGGAGTGTAGAGTTCTGCCAGAGGGATCCACAGCCTCTTGTTATCAACATCATCGATCCCGATCTTCCCCCCAACACATCTCCTTTCACAGCAGAACTAACCCATGGGGCGAGTGTCAACTGGACCATCGAGTACAACGACCCAGGTGGGAACTTGAGGCTCATTTCAGAAACTTCACTCTGACTCTCATGCTTCCCCTGCCCCTACCCGCCCCTCACCTCCCTTTCCGAAATTCCCTTTCATTTGATGCTTGTTTTCTTGTCCCTTCTACATTTGAGGCGTTCCACCAAAGGTCTCTTTTCTTTGCTGGTCGACTTTGCAACATACTGCTCAGGGTAATCTGCAGTCTAAGCAGCTCTGCTTTCTTTGCTCAGTTTTGAAATATCTTTAGTTCCTTAATAATCTTACTCTATAGTAAACTTCTTTTGCTCCCTTGGCTCCATCATTTGTTTTTGTTGCTTCCTCTAGGACACGAATCTCTCCTTTTGAAGCCAAAGAAAACCTTAGAGGTGGGTGAATACAAAATAAATCTCAGGCTCGAAGATTACCAGAACAAAGACCAGGTGACCACCTTAGAAGTGTATGTGTGCGACTGTGAAGGGGCCGTCAACGTCTGTAGGCGGGCTGGGAATTATGCCGAAGCAGGACTGCAGCTTCCCGCCATTCTGGGGATTCTTGGAGGCATCCTTGCTTTGCTAAGTGAGTACAGCTGACAACTGTGTTTTGACTTCTGGAATGGGGGAGTCTTCTCACTTGCTGAATGTTTCAGAGGTCAGTGGTCCGAGACTGGAAGGCCGCCCATGGCATTAAATCAACAGGGGGCCCAGTCCTATTTGATTTTTCTTCCGGTCCCTCAGGGCAGTGCTTCTCAAGCTCAAGAGCATACAAATCACCTGGGCCTCTTTGATATATGAGAATTTTGATCTAGTAGACTTGGGGTGGGGCCTTAGATTCAGCAGGTCCTTGGACCAACTCGGGAGCAAAGCTTTGGGATGCTGCCCTCATCAGCATGGTCAGAGCCAGCCAGCTCCCCGCCTGCACATTCCGTCCTAGAAGAGGGATGATTGAGGAAGGGTAAGGCACACCTGCGTATATCACCGTCACCCACACCCCCCTTTCCCAGCCACGGCCACCCCTGGAAGTTCCCACTCTTAACTGGGTGACCATGTGCCTGATTAAAACTTAGCAGAGGGTAGGCATAGAGTGTGAGGTAAACGGTCAGCATCAGTGACTGAAAGGATGCAGGCGAAAAAGGATACTGGGAAAATTTGGCAGTTTCTGCCACAGTTTTAAATACTGATATCACCTGAACCTACCTTGGGTTGACACAGATGCTTTTACAGTTTCAGAAATCTAGCAGTGACAAGTGAATTAGAAAGCTTTTTGAAGACGCTGTATAATTTAGAGGCTAGAAAAGTGGTCTAGGTCCTGAATGCTTTGCAGTCCAGAGGGGGCTGTTCCCTGAGTCTGAGGAAAGGTTTGGTGGCAGGCAGAGGACGGTTGTGCTTCAGGGCTGGTGGAATCCAGGTAGGCCGAGCGGCATTTGTGGGGGTTCCAACACGAGCGAAGACACAGAGGAGAGAGGACGGCTTGATTGCACTCTGCAGGGCCAGGATGAGGCCAGTGGAGTCCAAGGCAGTTCTTAGAGGGAGCAATGGGACCAACGTGAGGGCTTTTAATCAGGAATCTGCACAGACGTTACTGAGTCTGCTGCTGCTGCTTCAGTGGGTTCGAGAAGGGGTGATTTTTTGACCTTCAGTGAATGCTCGCAGTACATCCATCTGCTGCCTGTGTCCTCTCAAAACTGGGAAGAAAAATGAGTGTAAAAAAGACTTTATTTCTCTTTAGAGGGGAAGGAAAGGAGAAAGGGAGAGAAATATCAGTGTGTGGTTGCTTCTCATGAGTCCCCTGCTGGGAACTGGCCTGCAACCCAGGCATATACCCTGACTGGGAATCGAACCACAGTTCCTTGGTTCGCAAGCCCGCACTCAATCCACTGAGCTACACCAGCCAGGGCTAAAATACTGATAGCATTTTTAATAATAGCATTACCTAAATGTGCTATGGGTATATTTCACCAGACACAGGGGCTGAGAACATTTTGTTCAAGTGTGAAACAACGTTTACAGCAGAAGCAGTGCCAGGATTCAGATTTCCAGCTTTTTATTCCTGATGGGCAATCAGAGAACTCATGTGTGTAAAGAACATTCTAGAGAGGCACCAGGGCATGAGAGTTCTTATATAGTCAGGCAGTATTTGATTTTTTACTGAGTGCTGAGCTTTGTGTCAGACCCTGGGGATGCTGGGGTTTTGGTGCAGCTGGGGTGGGCTGGTGTGCTTTGATGCCTGTTTCTTAAGCGACATTGAAGTAATATTCCCATAAGAAGCAACCTTCTAGGAGCAATGCCACGCCTCTCTCTGGCTCTCACTTGCTCTGAGCTCTGTGTGGATGGGGGCTACTCGCCACTTGCATTGTCCTCAGCGCTGTGTCCTCCGTGCTGGGACAGGTCTTGGCCCACCAAGGAAGTGCTCAGTATTCCTGCCTAATGAATTATGGCCACAGGAGTTAAGTTGCTTAGTTTTGGATAAGATTTTGGAATCTTTCTCATTTCAGAAAGAATAGGTAGGTTGGGTACTTCTAAGGAATCTTCTCCCCAAGTTTGTGTAATTTTCTGTTTCATTACAATAATGCTCCTTCAGGGTATCATATATTGGTATTTGGGCCCAAGCATCTGTAAAGAAAACACACTGAATTACATATATTTTTCACTTATCATAAATAGTTTAATTTTTTAAAATTAAATGTTAATTATATATATCTTAGAACTATCCCAAGATCAGATGAAAACCTTGGAGATAAAGTAGCTTTTAAAACTTGCTTACATGATTTTTATCTTGAGAGAAGAAATATACCAAGTGATTTTTTTAAATAGTCTATGCCTCGCCCCTATAACTGATATAAGATGCACATATTAATCACATTTAGGCTGACCAAATTCTGCTCACAAAACTGCAGTGGCATCAGTGCACTCAGAACCGAAGCCAGCATCCTGCCAGTGGTCCACGTGTCCTGGCCCCGCCCTCTGGCCTCGACATTTCTTCCCCCCTCACTCACCCTGCTGCAGCCACGCCAGCTTCCTCATCCCCAGTCACACTGAGCATGCTCCTGCCTCGTGCGTGGCCTTGGCCCATGACGTTTCCACTGGTCGGTTTAAGATCCAGTGGTGAATTTAAGACCACACTTGAATTCACATGTTATTGTCCAGTCTGTTGTGCTGGATTTGTTGTCTTCAGGGCTGTGCGAATCACCACGTGGGTTGTCTGACAGCCGCCTCTCTGGGGTTCGCTCTGTGACAGCTGCAGCTTACAGAATTACTGAGCTCCGCCTCTCACCACTGTCTCTTCCCCTTTACAGTCCTGATTCTGCTGCTTCTGCTGTTTCTTCGGAGGAAACGGGTGGTCAAAGAGCCCTTACTGCCCCCAGAAGATGACACCCGGGACAATGTTTATTACTATGATGAAGAAGGAGGTGGCGAAGAGGACCAGGTGGGTTTTTTAAACTGTAGTAAAAATCTTAATGGCAAACACTGTATTTGGAAGAAGCTTTGGTTAGAAGGCAGACATTTGAAATAGCTCTGTGTCACTCTGTGTGTTATTATTTTTAAAGCCTCACCCAAGGACACAGACGTTGTCACTGGGCATCACATTAATACAACATTGCTGACAGTTATTGATCGCTTACTTTTCTGCACTCAGATGACTGAGCAGAGGCACAGAGCAGTTAAGCAACTCGTCCAAAGTCACACAGCTAGGCAGCATTAGAACCAGGTAGCTCGACTCCAAAGCCTACTGTCCTCATTGCTAGTTTCAGAACATGAACTCCATTCAAAGTACCTTTGGCATGGAGCAACGGATCTATTTTAATATTTCATTTTCCCTGAGTTATTTGAGCTATACTAAACTTTTTTTTTCTTTCTATAGATGTTAAATCTTTGAGCTTTATTTTTCCTAATTTGGAGATGGTCTTAACTTGCCTTGGTCAGTATGGTGCAGTCATCTCCATCTGTACACACAGGTGTTCCTCACAATCCTTTTATGCTATGTTGGTGCTGTTTTGAAGACTCCTCAGCTGAAAACTATCATTTTGGGTTGTGTTGGCACATGCTACTGATATCACCCAGCTGCAGCTAAGGCACTACTGAGCACTATAACCTATAAACAACCCACCTGGAACCCTGGGTTTGTGACTGCTTCAGGTTTACTCTTTGCTCTGCTTTTACCTTTTTCTCCAAAGGACTTCGACTTGAGCCAGTTGCACAGGGGCCTGGATGCTCGGCCGGAAGTGACCCGCAATGACGTGGCTCCACCCCTCTTGGGTGTGCCCCACTATCGGCCCCGCCCTGCCAACCCGGATGAAATTGGAAACTTCATTGATGAAGTAAGTAAGCGAAGTCAAAAGACCCAGCTCCTCTCTTAACTTAGAAAAGAGCAGTTGTGTCAAAAGTGAGGAAGAATCTAGATTCTCCCCTTTAGCACATTTTCATCTTGCATGATCCCTGAGCCCTGTTTTACTCTGTGTGGGGGTGTCATCTGAATTTTAGAAACAATAGCATTTTGAATTGGCCTTTGTGGATCTGCGGAGTCCATATGGCAAAACCAAGAATCATGAAGGGATTTAATAGAATTAGAAAAGGAACTACAGAAATTCAAAGTCAATCCAGTTTGGCTTCACTAATGGGCCTCTTTCCCTCTACATCCCACTGATGGTTGTTAATGTTAAATACGTATTACAAGTCTGTCTACCTGAGGGCCAGAAAAATACCATTCATGATGTATTTGTCAGAAATGCATTCAGCTATAAATATCAGAAGCTTAAATAGAAGTAGATTTACCTTTTGCAAGTAGAAGGCTGGGGTAAGCAGTTGAGGCTGGAATAGCAGCCTCTCCTACTTTCCTGCTGCATGCTAAAAACATGTATGTCCTTTTCCTCATGTTTATTGTCTCATGACCACAAGATGGCTCCCACGCTTCCAAGCCTTGAGTCTGTATTCCAGTTGGGATGAAGTAGGAAGGGCAGAACAGAGGGCAAAAATCTTTCTGCTAGGAAACTGCTGTGCAAGAAGGGTGTTGAATCCTACATGTTAGTGTCCAGAACTGTCACAAGATTGCCCCTATCAGCAGTGGAAGGTGGGAAATGACACACTTAACTAATTAGTTTAGGGTAGGATGAGGATGAAATGGGGCTGGAATGGGCACAAATCCAATTAAGATGTTATAGCAAGACCTGTTTTGTTTTTGTTTTTTTTAAGACTTTATTTATTTATTTTTAGAGGGGAAGGAAGGGAGAAAGAGAGAGAGAAACATCAATGTGTGGTTGCCTCTCACGTGGCCCCCACTGGGGACCTGGCGGGCAACCCAGGCATGTGCCCTGACTGGGAATTGAACTGGTGACCCTTTGGTTCACAGCCTGTGCTCAATCCACTGAGCTATACCAGCCAGGGCGAGACCTGTTTTCTTAAACTCTGTTATCCGATCACTTGCTCAGTTACTGGAAAGAGTTTCAGGGCTTGTCTGTTGGTCCAGTTGCTGCCTGTGGCCAGTGTTCATGGTAGGGCTAACTTTGCTTTAGCTTCCCACGGGAGCTCTTTTCACCGAGGACTGTACAAAGCACAGCGGTGTGGGCAGTGACAGACCACATCCATTCCTACCGCTGGGTCTTAAAGAAAACTGGCAACCGGAAGGGCTGGTCTCAACCATCCTTTTTAGATAGATACATCTGGATTCAGATTCTTTCCTCCATTTACATTCATTTGCATGTTATTATATTCGACTGTAGTTTTTTTTTTTTAATTACTAAAAGGATATGGCTTGTTATTTTAAATATATAAATTATGACAAAGTACATAAAGAAAAAATATATAAGTTCTTTCTTAGTTCTTCTGACCCTACTACCGGAATGAACCCTTAACGGTTTGGCATTCATCCTTCCCGGCCTTTTGGACCGAAATGCAGCCTCTGTGGGTCAGTGTGACTGTCCTCATTTTTTTTTAGCCTCTGTCCATCCAGATTGGTTGGTGCTTACATCTCCCCTGCCTACATATAATTTACCCTTTTAGTTCAGGGGGGAAATATGCTGTGTACTTTCCCATAACTTTCTTTTCTTAAACAACATGTCATGCCTGTCTTCCACTACAGTTTGTATGAACTCACTTTATTAGTGTTGATTGCTCTTGGTGTCTACAGGATGGTTGCATTGTCACACGGTCCACTTTGCACCAGGGGGAGGCATCCCGCCTGGTGACAGGTGTGTGGTTCCTTTCACTGAAAGACCCTGTTGTTTTCCTTCTTTAGAACTTGAAGGCGGCCGACAGTGACCCCACTGCCCCCCCTTATGACTCTCTGCTCGTGTTTGATTATGAAGGAAGTGGTTCCGAAGCCGCTAGTCTGAGCTCCCTGAACTCCTCGGAGTCAGACCAAGACCAGGACTATGACTACCTGAACGAATGGGGCAGTCGCTTCAAGAAGCTGGCGGACATGTACGGAGGTGGCGAGGACGACTAGGGGACTCGAGACAGATGGGCAGAGGGGTCCCTATACTCATGTGATGGGAAATGGAGGAAGAATTTTTCTGGCCTTTCGGCTCCCTTCACTTGATGAATTTCTGGGGAAGAGAGACTGTGATCAGTGATACAGTTAGGGTAGTTATGATTTCCACTTTATAGATCTTAATCTGTGTGCTAGAAACAATTTGACTCCTTTTTTTCCTTTCATCACTCTTTTTATAAGCTTGCAAATTGCTGATTTTCTTAAGGGCTTTGTTTCATTTTTTAAAAGGAAGGGGAGGGGTCAACTGCACTATTTTTTTTTTTTGTATCTATATAAATTTTTTATTTTTAATTTGTGTAGATTTTTTTAATCCTATCACTGCACCGGAGTCTCATGTTCCGATATTCACTCTCACTACTTCTGAATTTACATTGCCCCAGACATGAGTTCTCTGAGTCAGAAACTACTGGGCCCTTTAAGGGTAAGGGGCTCTGTCATAGTCTGGCCATGTCATGACTGGGTATTGTACAGTTTTCTTTTCTCATCTCCTGAGTATGTAACTTGTCCTGAGTTAGAATGATTGTCATGTGAATGTCAGTATGAGATACTTTGGCTCTAAATGAGCATTGACCGGAAGAGGAGGTGATAAGTTTTCAGGTGCCATTTAACTCTTAATGTTTATCTAAAACAAAGGAGTGATATTTGAATATTTTGAGGCTCAGAACAGTGCCTGAAGTGTTGCAGCCACAGAGAGAAGATTTGGCATGTCGCAGCAGATGGAAAACGTGAAACGTGGGCTTGGTGTCACTGAGCCTGGCGATTTAGGAAACTGAGCCTGAGAATGGTTGAGGTGGCTCTACCTCTAGTCCTGCAAATTCTGGAAAAATGGAAGAATCTCAACATGTGCTTCCTACCAGGGTCTTTCTTTCCACCATGGTTTGTATCTGAAGTCCAGAATTCCCATACGCTTGCTTTCGTTGGTGTCCACAGAAAATACTGGCTGATATGGACACGTTGGCCCCAAATTCCAAGAAAACGAAGTGTGTCGGAAAACCCAAAGTTTTCCTTAAGGAGCAGGGGAGGTGGGGGTAAGGACTCAATTTGGATATTCTTCTGGTTGAATGTGGTCATCAGGAAACTTTTGACAACCCCGGGAAAGAAGTTTATCTGTGTTGCTTTACTGTCTGTCAACAGTCTTTTGAAGAAAACAAAAAATCATTCCTGCAATCACTTCTTGGAACTGTTTTGATTTTTCAGGAATTTGAACTCAGATGTAATTCTGTGTAGACTGTCACTGTAGTGTTGAGTGTGTATGTGTGCAGGTGATGATAATTTGTATTTCTTTGAGGGTGGAAAAGGAAAGCAGTTTAGGCTGATAAACTTGATATTCATTTTTATAAATTTTATTAAAGAATTTTGTTAAATCATTGTCAAACTTGTTTTATTTGCTTACACCACAGTTATAGGCAAGACCAATGATGGATGAGTCTAACCATGGAGAAAGAAACTATGGAGGAGGAGTTCAACTTTCTAAAATATTAAAAAAAATTTTTAATTGTAAAATATATATAACATTGTACCTTTAAAAATAATTTGTGTTTTTTTTTATGTTTTAAAGATTTTATTTATTTTTAGAGAGAGGGAAAGGAGAAAGAAAGGGAGAGAAACATCAATTAGTTGCCTCTCTCACACCCACAACCCAGGCATGTGCCCGGACTGGGAATCGAACCAGTGACCTTTCTGTCTACAGGCCAATGCTCAATTCCCTGAGTCACACCATCCAGGGCACATTTTACTATTTTTAATTGTACAGTTAAATTGTGATAAGTAATACCCTTAAAAGGGAGAAAAATCGTGACACATACTACACTGTGATGTCCAGTGAAACAAGCCAAACACGAAATGACAACTACTGTGTGATTCCATATAAATTGGGTACCTAGAATAGTCCATTTTATAGAGATAGAAAGTAGAGCAGAGGTTATGGGACCATGGAAAGGAGGGGGTGGGGAGTTACTGAACGGGAGTAGAGATTCACTTTGGGACGGTGAAAAGCTCTGGAGATAGATAGTGGTGATGGCTATACACAACACTGTAAATGGATTTAATATCACTGGATTGTTCTCTTTAACATGGTTGGGTTTTATGTCTATTTTACCACGATAAAATCAGCGGAAAGTAGGATAAGGGTAAAGATAGAAGAGTAATGGTTCTACAGACAACAACATTAAATTGTTCACAGAGTACCACGCCGACCAGTGTGGCTCAGTTGTTGGGCAACCTTCCACAAAGTGAATGGTTGCCGGTTTGATTCTAGGTCAGGGCAGATGCCTGGGTGGTGGGTTTGGTCCCCAGTTGGGGGCACATACGAGAGGCAGCTGATTGATGTTTCTCTTTCACATCAATGTTTCCCTTTCTCCCTCCCCCTCTCTTAAAAAAAATAAACATTTAAAAGAAGAAAACTGTTTACAAATTACTTACCATATTCAGGGGGCCATACCCTCAGGGAAGAGGGACTTCTGAGAAAGACTAGAGAGAAGGTCGCTGGGCCAGGCCAGGAGCCTGGCCAGTGAACTGTGCGTCTGCTTCCCTCTTGCTGGTTCTGAAGATCCTGACCAGGCAGTATGTGGTGAAGACACCAAGACAGGAGCCATGCTGCCTGAGTTCAGTCAAGTTCTGGTTTGTCCTTTCCAGCTGTGGGCTCATACAAGTTACTTAACCTTTCCCTATCTCCATCCAGTATAAAGGTAACTTTCCATAGGAGGTTGTGAGACTAGATATGTATAAAGCATTTGGGTCATAGCAGTGCTCTGCTAAATGTTAGCTTTTATTTTTATTATTAATGAGTACAGTAAGGGAGTTTTTGGGTAGAGATCATTTAAGCGAAAGCAGGATGTTAGAGAAAAGGCCAAGGTAGATTGGATTTAGTGGGTCAGATAGAATCAGTCAAGTATTTTGAGCAGAGCTATGTGAACCAAAGGGGTGTTCTGTGAAGGCACATCTGTTTTCCGGTTTTGATGAACTGGCTTGAAGAGACCGAAGACAGCAAAGAGCCTCTGAAGTTGGAGTTGCAATAGGGATGAAGGGATCCAGAATATACTACTAACAGGGTTTTTCCCTGAACTCCCCTTCTCTGCCTCCCAAAATAATTCAAGAGTCCTAAATCTCCCCAGGAGTTTCACCAAGAGGGAGGACTGACTGCTATCACCAGGGACTAGAGGAGCACTGCTGGGATAGGAAATCACCTAAACATATTTTCACAAAACTATCATGTCTCCCATCTATTCTCCTAAGGGCTCTTTTCTCTTTCCTCAAGAAGTCATTTGTCTCACCCCCAGATTCTAATCACCTCTTTGAGTCACATTTTGCTGTGAATTCTCTAAGATGTGAATAAAAATCTGTTTTCTCTCACTGATCTGTCTTTTGTCAGTTTAATTTCCAAGCCCCAATATTAAGAACCCAATTAAGTAGAGGGAAATTTCCTTGTGACAAGTATCTGATTGATAGCAAAGGGAGTGGTAACATAAATGAAGCCCTGGCCGTGTGGTTCAACTGGTTGCAGTGCAGTTCATCCCATATACCAAAAAGTGGTGGAGTTTAATCCTAGTCTGGGGCATGTAATTGATGGCAGGAGGCAATTGATTGATGTTTCTCTCTCTCTGAAATCAATAAACATACCTTAAGGTGAGGGTTTTAAAAAAATACTCATTTGGTGGCTACAGTGAGCTAACCCACATTTTTAAAGAAAGTGAAAACAAGCTTTAGTAATGTCTTTTTTGTTGAGTGGGTGGTGAGGGTTATCACAGACTAAGGTTTTCAGACCAGCAGAGTAAAAATTTAGGGGTCAATTGTGGGAAATAGAATGCAACCATTCCACTTATTACATGATAGAAACAAACCCTTAACCCTTAATTCCCAGGGGTATTTACTGGGAATTAAGTTATTGATAACTATTAGATGTTATAGCCTTCTTAATTCTGGGTTGACCAATTTCCTGCCTGCTTCATTAGGTCTCCCAGTATTTTGGTATATGAATATTTTCATCCTGAAATATATATTATTTCATGATAAGCTACTTCTAATAACCTTTTATTGATTTTGAGAGAGAGGAATGGAGACAAATACGTTCCTCTTTTTTTCCTTTTTTATTATAAGACCTTTCATTACAAAAATCATAAGCATGTAATTCTTTTTAAAAAATTTTTGTTTTCAAACACAGTTGTCTTCACTTTCCCTTTACCATCCACCCCCTCCCTACCCACAGCGCACCTCCCATCCCCAATCCTATGCCCCTTAGGTTTTGTCAGTGGGTCCTTTATATGTTGCTCTTCTTATTTATGAATTCATTGGTTGATTTTTGTATGTGCCCAGTGGAACTAGCAACCTTGGCGTATAGAGATGCTCTGAGTTACTGTGCCAGGGCCAATTCCCTTCTTGCAGTTAATTGTGCATCTAAGCAGGTTGTGTTATCTGTGGGATTAAAAAAAATTATTCATTGACTTAGAGACAGGAACCTTGTTCCATTTATTTATGCATTTATTAGTTGCTTCTTCTGTGTACCTGACCATGGGTCAGACCCGCAATCAGAAGGACTAACCAAATGAGCTACCCCAGGGAGACTAAAGAGGCCGGGGGGGGAAGGAAGTTAAGTGGGTGTTCCTGACCGAATCGCTCCGCCCCATACCGATGGCTCCACCCCCATCACCGGCGGCTCCTGCCACACTCAACATGGCGGCGGCGAGGGTCACGGTTGCGCTCTGCCCAGGCGCTTGAGCTGGTCACGTCCGACGCGTGCCACTCTAGTCATGGCGGATCTCCGGCATGACTGGGGCAGCGGGGCTCCTGAAACGTGCGGTCTGGAGCAGATTTTGGAGGCGTTGAAGCTGCTGCTGAGCCCGGGAGGTGAGAAGACAGCCCTCCGCGCTGGGCTGCACCCGGGACTCTCAGGGCCGCCAGTCTTCCACGGCTGCCCTGGATCCTACACGGTGCGCCCCCAGGCCCTCGCGGGGCCTCCAGCCTGGCGGCCGCCCTGACCCTGGAAGCTTTGGGCATTGTCCAGCCTCACACTACGGTTGAGGAAACCCAGGCTCAAGGAGGCATGGGATTCGTTGAATATTGATGCTAACTAGGGTCTCTTGAGCGCTTACTTTTTTTTTGGTGGGCACTGTGTAAGTGCCTTGGTACGGGGTTTCATTCAGTCTCCACTGCAGCGCTCAAGGCAGGGACTGCAGCAACAGCTTCAGAGAGGGTAGGCGTTCGTGACGATGAGGTGAAGTCCCAACCTCTTGAGGGCGCAGAATCTAATGTGGATGCTGGAAATTTGTACAAAATGTAGAGGAGTCCCGAAAAGGCAACCAATGACTTTTGAGCTGGGTATGGGGGTAGTATTTAGTGATTTACAGTCTGGGACAGATTTACAGTTGCTTTTGATCTTTCGTGGTGACAAGATCTTCCCAATTTAGAATCTTAAGATACCTTGGGAGGAGTGCGTTACCCTGGCACTCACCTTTCACAGCCGCAGACACTCAAGTCTCACTGAAGACCCAAGTAAACTGCCCAAAGATCATGCGGTCCAGATAGGACGCGGACCTAGAATCTAGGTCTACCGAAACCCCTTCTCAGACGAAAGCAAATTATTCCATGTGGATCCTCAGGTGTTATCTGGAGATTTGAGAAAGGAAACATTGGAGTGGCTTTTGGGGGGGGGAGGGGCTTAGTTAGGGTGAGCAAAGTAAGGTACACGAAGCAGCATGAGTTGATGTTCCAAGTCTCAAATTTGACACACGCAGCCCCTTCAGCCCCCCACCCACCCAAACTGCGAAAACTCCCACATACCTGGTGAAAGTGAGAATAAGTTATTAATAATAGTTATTGAGTGCTTATGAAGTATCAATCCCTGTACTATGATGTATCATTCAATGCTCACAACAATCCAATGAGCTAGGTATTACTCGTATTCCATTTTACAGATGTTGGAACCAAGGCTCAGGTACATTGGAAACTGCTCAGTGTTAGCCTATTGAGTGGCCAAGCGGGTATTTGAATTCAGGAGGTTTCCCCAATAGTGTGACAACTACACTACGTTGCCTCGAGGAGGAAACGGCAGGATAGAGTTTTAACTTGCTAATTGAGAGGACATTTGTCTAGCAACTGCGACTATCTCAGATATGACTGAAAGCAAAGTTAAATAAGCAAAAAATTTGGAAGTAATTATCACAAAGCACATGTAACTTCATTTATAGAAGGCCTCTAAGTCTTGAAGAGTATATGCTGGAATTACATGCATGAACTCAAAGTCCAACCATTCTTATTTGAAAAAGAATAAGTTTTTAGTATGGTTAAATGATATTGTTTTCCACACAAAGTTGCCTGCTGTTTTCTTTGATCATATCAGGTGCTGAGGGAATGAAAATAAACCTGTGCATTCCGAGTATTTACATGTCCCTGATGGACAGAGAGAGTTGAGGAGACAGGATGAAAATATTGGTTAAAATTGCAGCTCCCTGAATTAAATCTTTTTTGATCTGTAAACTTTCTACTTTTGAGGTAACATGTACTGAGAATTAACTGCATATAGTATTTATCCTCAGTGCTGCTGGAAATACAAAAATGTGTAACAACTTGTGCTCTCAAGCTTCTCATCTGTTTGAGGAGGTGGTACTATACATATATATAAACCACACATAGTGAACACGGCAGGATAACGCTAGTGGTGGGTGGATGGCACAGTTAACAACAGGTGAGTCTGTGGAAGGCCACGGGAGGAGAAGTGAGTCTGGGTGGGAATTCACATTCGGGCCACCAGGAGTTCGGCTGCATTAGGCGTCTCTTTTCCCCTGTTTTCCATTTCTGTTCTCTAGCACGGGGCAGATAAGAGTATCTCCATCTTCATTTTTAGAAATCGTGTAAGCAGGATTTGAAAGGGGTTTATTAATTTTAGTGTTTTGTTTGTTAAAAAAGGGGACCAGTGAATGCCTAAATGTAGATGCACTGGACTGTTGTCATTAACTGAGTTACAGCGGGGAGAAGGGGCTGACAATGTCCATAATGTGTAAGTAATGGAGCTGCATCCCACTCAGTCTTGCGTGCCACATTATTCTGTACTCGGAACTTAATAAAAAGTGCCACACAAATAGTGAAGTCTGTTTTTAAATGTCACAAAGCCTAGATATTTAAATTGGTGATTGGAGAGAATAGATAATGCTGTTCACGAGGGCACCATTTCAACTTTAAAAAAGGATTTAATTTGAAGAAATAAACACATAAAGCAAACTACAGTACAGCTGTTACTCAGATAAATGGACAAATTTGGGAAACATTGTTTTAAGGCAGCAGATCTCAAATTTTTTGGTTTCAGCACTCTTTTACACTCTTAAAAATTGCTGAGGACTTAAAAGAGATTTTCTGTGGGTTATATGTACCAATATTTACTATGTGAGAAATGAAGACCTTAAGAAAAACCTTTTACACTTATTTAAAAATAACATTAATAACCACATGACATGTTAACATAATGCCATTTTTAATGAAAACTGTGTTTTGCAAAGTAAGATAACTTAGTGGGAAGAGTGGCATTGTTTAACATTTTTGTAAGTTTCATTAATGTCTGGCTTAGTAGAAGACAGCTATATTTTTATATTTCCTTCTCCAGTCTGTCATGATAGGTTGTTCTGATTGAAGTAGATGGAGAAAATATAGACTCACATAGTTATGTAGTTGGAAAAAGGGAGGAATTTCAATCCCTTTTCAGATAATTGTGTGTGTTCTTTGATACTGTGCTAAAAACAAGAATTTCTTAAAGGTTAGTTGCCCTGTGGAACCTGAACTCAGTGACTTTTTTATACTTGGTACTCTCATGAGAGAATGAGAGCATAAAAGGCAAGTAATGCCTTATTATTAATATGAAAATAGTTTTGACCTTGCAGACTGCCTGAGAGATTCTTGGGAAGCCCCCTTGAAACCCCGACCCTGTACCACAGGTTGAAAACTGCTGCTTTAAGGGAATGCCTTTATTTTCAAGATTTTATTTTTTATCACCAGTAGAGGGCAGAAGAGTCTGCTTTATTAAAGGGCTCCTGATAAATAGCTTTTGTTTTAAATCACTTTCTTTGTGTCCCTTGTTTGGGTTCAAAGATTTGATAAAGTCACCAGAAGTCACTTAGAGGTTGTTTAGTGATCTGAATGGGTAGCAGCAACCAGCTTCGAGAGCACGAATTTCCTTTTTAGGTGTTTTTAGCCAAAGGAACCACATTTCATGCTGGTGAGTCAGAACACGCCCTGGACCGCCCCAGAGAAGTACTGGAAAATTCTCCTGATTCTTATTATTTTAAAAGAACAATGTTATTATACCTTTTTATTTTTATCAAGTAGTTTATGTTCCTTAGAGTAGAACTTAAAAACAGAGAGAGAAGCTAAAAGAAGAAAATTAAAATGTCCTCAATTCCACTATCTCGAGATTGCATTTTGGGAAATGCTATTTTTCTTTTTGACAAGGTCTCATATACTACCCACTGTTTTATAACCTTAAAGTAGCCTTTGTTTTAGTATAGAAACAATACGTATTTACTGTAAAATTTTTTTTATAATGAAGCCAAAAAGAAAAAGCCCTGTCTCCTCACTGTTTCCTCCCTCTCTCAATAAATCATTTATTTTAGTTTTAGTTTGTTCTTCCATTGCTTTTTTTTTAAAAGCAAGTAATATATTTCATATTCCCTTCCATTCTTACGCAAAAGGTGGCATACTATATAAATATTTCTATGCTTTAGTTTCAATTTTAGTTTGTAGATTTTACAGAGAGAAGGAGGGGGAGAGAGAAAGAAAGACATTGATTTGTTGTTCCACTTACTGATGCATTCATTGGGTGATTCTTGTATGTTCCCTGAACCCACAGTCTTGGTGTGTGGGGATGACTCTAACCAACCCAGCCAGGGCTACTTTTAATTTAATTTTATTATTAATTAATTTTTTCTTTTTTGAAGTTTTATCAAGAAATCTTTTTTAAATTATATTTTATTGATTATGCTATTACAGTTTTCCTGACTCTTCCCCAATTTCCCCTTCCACCCAGTGCCCCCCACTCCCTCAGGCAAGCCCCCCACCATTGGTCATGTCCTTGGGTCATGCTTATAAGTTCTTTGGCTACTCCATTTCCTATGCTGTACTTTACATCCCCAAGGCTATTTTGTAATCTACCTATTTGTACTTCTTAATCCCCTCACATTTTCACCCATTCTCCCCCTCTGCCCTCTCATCTGGCAACCTTCTGGGAACTAACTTCTTTTCTTTTGCTTTTTTTTTTTAAATTTTTTATTGATTATGCCGTTACAGTTGTTCTATTCCCCCTTCATTCCCCTCCACCCTGCACCCCATCCCCACCATTACCCCCCTTTAGTTTATGTCCATGTGTCTCAAGTTCTTTAGATTCTATATTTTCCATGCTATTCTTGCCCCCCCCCATTTTCTACCTACTGTCTATGCTACTTATTTTCTGTACCTTCTCCCCCCTTATCCTCCTCCCACTCCCCTGTTGCTAACCCTCCTTGAGATCTTCATTTCTCTGTTTCCACTCCTGATCTACCTGTCCTTTTAGTTTGCTTTTGTTTTAGGTGTGGTTGTTAATAACTGTGAGTTTGCTGTCCTTTCACTGTTCATGTTTCTTTAACTTCTTTTTCTTCGATAAGTCCCTTTAGCATTTCATATAATAAGGGCTTGGTGATGATGAACTCCTTGAATTTGATCTTATCTGAGAAGCACTTTATCTGTCCTTCCATTTTAAATGAAAGTTTTGCTGGATAGAGCAATCTTGGTTGTAGGTCTTTGGATTTCATGACTTGGAATACCTCTTTCCAGCCCCTTCTTGCCTGTAAGGTCTCTTTTGAGAAATCTGCTGACAGTCTGATGGGAACTCCTTTGTAGGTGACTGTCCCCTTATGTCTTGCTGCTTCTAGGATTCTCTCCTTCGTTTTAATCTTGGCTAATGTAATTATGATGTGCCTTGGTGTGTTCCTTCTTGGGTCCAACTTCTTTGGTACTCTCTGAGCTTCCCGGATTTCCTGGAAGTCTATTTCCTTTGCCAGATTGGGGAAATTCTCCTTTATTATTTGCTCAAATAAGTTTTCCACTGGTGGCTGTGCCTTTCCCCCTTCTGGTACCCCTATAATTCGGATGTTGGAGCGTTTAAAGATGTCCTGGAGGTTCCTAAGACTCTCCTCATTTCTTTGAATTCTTGCTTCTTGACTCTTTTCTGTTTGGCCATTATTTGCTTTCTTCTGGTCCACTCCATTGATTTGAGTCCCAGTTTCCTTTTCATTGCTATTGGTGTCCTGTGCAATTCCATTCATTTCAATTAGTTTCGCCTTCATATATTTGTCTAATTTGTGGCTATAATCAACCAGTTCTGTGAGGATCCTGATCACCAGTGTTTTAAACTGTGCGTCTGAGAGTTTTGCTATTTCTTCATCGCTTAGATGTATAGGCTCTGGGGCTTTGAGATCTTGAGCCATTTTTGGTCTGTTCGAGTCCTTTAAGTGTGAGGAGCGGAGCCTTGGACTCCCAGGTCGCTGGGTTGTGACGCTGTATGTGGGGGCGTGGTCAGAGCAGGGAAATGGTGGCGCCCTCCCTGCCTCTAGCTGCGGGACCCGCTGGGTCCCGGTCCAACCGCCCACTCCCTCGCTTGTCTGTCTGCGCACGAATGAGCGACCACAGTCAACCTGCAGCCCTGCTCCCTCGCTGTTTCCCTGCGGTCGCTCACTGGGTCGCTCACTGGGTCGCTCACTAGGTCCAACCCTGCGCCTGGATTCCGCGTGTCTGGATTCTGGGCGCCTGAGTCTGTCTGACCGAGTTTTCCTGTGCAACCCCGCTCCACCAGCTGCTGGTTTCGCCCCTTACTGGTCAGGCTGAAGAATTTGTTGTTAACAGACTTCCAAAAAGTTCAATTTTCTGTGTTCTGGCTGTGTTTTCTGTTGCTAATATTTAGTTGTCTCTAAACTTGGTTGTGTAAGAAGGCACGGCTTATCCACCTATGCCTCCATCTTGGCGGAAGTCTCTTTTGCTTTTAAGAGTCTCTCTTTATCTTTGACCTTTGGCCTTTTAATTATGATGTATCTTGGAGTGGACCTCTTTGCATCCATCATAATTGGGACTCTGCACTTCCTAGACTACTTCACCAAACTAGGGAAGTTTTCTTTCACTATTTTTCCAGATAGATTTTTAATTTCTTGCTCTTTTCTCCTTCTGGCACCTCTATGATTCAAATGTCGGACCTCTTAACGTTGTCCCAGAGGTTGCTCACACTATCCTCACTTTTTGCATTCTTTTCTCTTGTTCTGCAGGGTTGTTTTTTGTTTCTTTATGTTCCAGATCATTGATTCAATTCTCAGGTGCATTCCCTCTACTCTTGTTTCCCTGTAAATTATTCTTTATAATACTAGTGTGCCTTTTGTTTCTGACTGGGTCTTTGTATACTTTTGAGGACCTCACTAAGTTCCTTGAGCATCCTTATAAACATTGTTTTGGACTCTATCTGATAGATTGCTTATCTCCATTTCATTTAGCTCTTTTTCTGGAATTTTGATCTGTCCTTTCATGTGGGCCATGTTTCTTTGTCTCCTCATTTTGGCAGTTTGTTTCTATCTATTAGGTAGAGCTGCTTTGACTCTGTGCCTTGGTAGTGTGGCCTAATGTAGTAGGTGTCCTGTAGGGTCCAGTGGCACAGCCTCCCCTATCACCCAATCTGGATACTCAATGTGCATTCTTTGTGTGGGCTGAGTACACCCTCCTCTTGTAGCTGAGCCTTGGTTTCTGTTGGCAGATCAATGGGAGGGATTTACCCAGGCCAGGCACCTGCACAGTTTGGCTGTGACCACTGACCACCAATCTCCACTCTCTGTGGAGGATCAGCTCTGCGGGGCAGAGTGGTGGTGCTCTGACATGGTCTGTGGCTGTCCACTGGGTGCGTTGGTCCTGTGTTTTGCCTGGGACACCCTGCCTGAGCTATAAAGCAAGCTGAGAAGGCTATTTCTTGTGCTACTTGGAGAGTCCTAGGTGGAGCCAAGTTGTGAATCTGTTCTGGCTGTGTTAGGGCTCTCTGAAGCCAGCTGTTGCTTGTGTGATAGGATTTAGGAGCCAAGACCAGCCATTCTTTTGGAAAAGCAGCTTGGGTGGGCCTGTAAGTTGGGTCCGCTAGAGCCTCTGTGGATGTCCATGGTGAGTCACACAGTGTTAGCGGGGGTGATGGAGTCTCAGAAAAGGCACCTGTCTACTGGCTCTGTCGGGGGAGGGCTCAGCAAAGGGACAATGGCCTCTGCTCTCCTAGGTGCCAGACACTTCAGTCTCTCCCTGCATACCACTAGTGCCCTTCAAGCTGCTACCCCGGTGCTGGAGCTCAGAGGGAGCGAGTCTGAGTAGGTGGGTCCATGTGTGGGTTCCTCAAGAGAAACCGCTTAGGGCTCTAGCAACCTCCTCCACTCACTCAGTCCTCACTGTTTTTCCAGCCAGAAGTTGGGATTTATCTTCCTGGCACTGGAACACTGGGCTGGGGGGCCTGGTGTGGGTCTGGGACTCTTTGCTCCTGGAAAATTTCTCCTGAATTTTTATCCCTGTGGGTGTGAGGTGAGGGTAGCCCATTCTGCATCCCCACCCCTCCTGCCAGTTTGGATGGATGCAGTTTCTTCGGTTCTGTAGTTGTCAGATGTCCATTCAACTCAATTTCTGATGTTCCCGAGAGATGGTTGTTCTATAATTTTTAAAAAAGAATTTTTTTATGTATTTACTTTTAGAGAGGGGAAGGGAGGGAGAAAGAGAGGGAGAGAAACATCAATGTGTGGTTTCCTCTCACGTGTCCCCCCGCATCAGAGACCTGGCCTGCAACTCAGGCAAGTGCCTTGACTGGGAATAGAACAAGTGACCCTTTGGCGCAAAGGTCCACGCTTAATCCACTGAGCCACACCAGCCAGGGCTCAATCAGTTTTCTATTAATAGACACTTGGGTTGTTTCAAGTCTTTTGTTAGTACAAGAAGCACCACAATCTACGATGAATACCTTGCGTATATGTCATTTTTGCCTGTGTATTTATAGGATAGATTCCTAAAAATGTAATTGCTTGGCCAAAGGGTAAATGCCTATGTAATTTTGCTACATATGCCAAGTTTCTGTCCTTCGGGAGGTGCCATTTTAGTTCCTACCAGAAATGTATGAATAGTGTGTGTTTCTCCCAAACCTTGCCACTTAATGTGTGATAAAATTTGGATATTAGCAGGTTGGTAGATGGAAAGTGCTATTTTAGTACAGTTTTTTAAATTTACCTTTCTTTTAGGAGCAAAGTTAATTGTTATCATGTTTAAAATTCATTTGCATTTTTGTGTGGACTTCATATCTTTTGCCTACATAGTATTTTGTATTCTTTGTTCACTTTAGAATATATTTAATGAAAATGTCATCAAATAGTGTTCATTATCATTTAATGGCTGCACTGAGAACAGGTTGAATGAATCTTCAGTGGTAAATGTTCAGCTTTCTAAATTTCTGTTCTAGCTACAATTGAAGCCCAGTAAGGGGACTAAGACTTGGCCTCTGCCTTCAGAACACAAGTGGAGTCTTGGCTGATGTGGCTCAGTGGACTGAGTGCTAGCCTGTGAACCAAAGGGTCACTGGTTCGATTCCCAGTCCAGGTGCATGCCTGGGTTGCAGGCCAGGTCCCCAGTGGGGAGCGTGCAAGAGGCAACCACACATTGATGTTTTTGTCCCTTTCCCCTCTGTCTAAAAATAAAATGAAATCTTGAAAAAAGAAAAGGACACAAGTAGAATAGAAACAAGCTAGATGAAGTGTAACATGTTAGGGGCTCTATTCTGACTACATCGAAGTGCTATGGGAAGGGAGGAAATGTGGTCCTGAATTCTGCCTGGGCTGGGGCGGCGCGATTAGGGAGGTTTCCAGAGGCCACGGCCTGAGCCGGGGCTCAGAGTGAACTGGAGTGGGCAAGGCATTCCCACTGCGGAAGTGCAGTTCATTTTCCATGTATATTATTTCTCTCTCTCTTTTTTTCTTAAAAGGATCAGGCTCCAGTTCACTGCAGATCACAAAACACGATGTCTTGTTGGCTACTTTAAAATCTAACCTGTCTGCTTTGGAGAAATGCCTGAAGGAGCCTCACTGGAAGAAACTGCAACTGCTAAGGGAGGAAATGGCCAACAAGGCAGAATGGCCGCAGAGCTCTGTGGACGTCACCTGGAGTTTCACCTCTCAGGCCTTGCTGTTGCTCCTGTGCTTGAAGGAAACCATGCTGCGCCTGGCAGCCGATTTCAGTCCAGGTAAAGCCGACCCCCGGACTCCGGAAGCCGCCCCGGCCCTGAGCCCAGATACACTCAGTATCTCCCAGCAGAAGACCATCCAGTCAGTTTTACAGTTTGTAGTCACCTTGGGGGTCTGTCCTTACCTCATGCCTGGTGTCGGAGTCCCTTTGAGATGCAGGACGGAGTTTGGGGCTGTTGTTCAAGACGTGGTGTGTCTCGATGCTGCCCCCGGTGCCACCCGGAGACTGTATGCCAGCTGCAGGGTCCTCCTAGATGTTGCTCAGCACGCCTCTCTGGGGAGCCTGATTTTCTGCCGCCATTTCGGGGATATCGCCGCTGGTCTGTGCCAACTGGGATTCTGCCCAACCAAGAGAAAACCACTAAAGTCCGAGGAAGAGGTAAAATATATGTTGAGAGAGAGAGAGAGAGGCTATGAATATGTTTTTGTGAGTCTGTGTGAATATGTGTATATATGTTTGTGTGTGGTTATTATGAAAGATAATTCTTAGTTCTTTGGAAAGGGACTGATGGAAAGATCTAGAATTCCTGTTGAATGTCAAAGCATATCCAGTAGCTAACTGAATCTTTTTGGGGGTCGGAGCTTTCACCTGTTAGACGTTAGCCCTTTGCACAGCTGGAGAGGCCACTTCACCTGTCCCTTCTCGTCATTAAATGGAACAGCTATCGCAGGCTATTTCTTTGAGCCTCTGTTTCCTTTTTTTAGAAATTATTTTATTGTTGTTCTTATTTCTTTATTTTTAGAGAGAGGGGGGGGGAGGAAGAAAGAGAGGGAGAGAAACATCGATGTGAGAGAGAAACACTGATTGGTTGCCTCTTGCATGCACCTGACCAGGGACTGAACTTGCAACCCATGCATTTGCCCTGACCAGGAATTGAACCCCTGACCTTGGGCTTTGCAGGATGATACCCAACCAACTGAGCCACACCAAGGCCATTTCCTTTTTTATAAAGTTGTATATAAATCCTTGGAAGGTGGTTGTGAGGATTTAGGTTAATATGTGTAGAGTACCTAGCCCAATCCCAATAGTGGCTCATCAAAAAGTAATTCCTACTAATACTACTAGTAGACTCTCCATGGCTTCTTCATTAAAATTCTTGGTAGGGTTAAATGAGATAAAGTAGGTAAAGCACCCGGTACACTGCATAATTCAGTCCATGTTCGTTGTTATCATCAGACGTTAGGGGCGTGTGTTGCTGACAGTAGGTGAGGTTTTGAGTATCTGGACTGCGAAGGTGCTGTGGAAGTTACAGAAGCGTAGGACGCAGTCCTTTTCTCAAACAGCTCCCGCATTAACTGGGGAGACAAGACGCACGAGTCTAACACTGCAGCGACCTCTGCTCCCCATGAGAGACCCACCCACATTGGCGTAGGACCTGGCCTGAAGAAGCTGTTACTGTGTGAGTGTGGCGAGGGTCAGGGCAGCTCGTTCACAGGGTAGTTCCTCGGCCACTGCAGCCAGACCTCACAGTGCCCACCCTCCTCGTTTCCTTGTCACCTTCCTGTCACCTTCCAACTCCTTTTCTTTTTATCTATCTATCTATCTATCTATCTATCTATCTATCTATCTATCATCTGTCTATCTATCTATCTATCTATCTATCTATCTATCTATCTATCTAGATATCTTTAGAGAGGGAAGGGAAGGGAGGAGAGAGGGGGAGAGAGGGAGAGAAATATCAATGTATGGTTGCCTCTCATGCATCCCCTGCTGGGAACTGGCCTGCAACCCAGGCATGTGCCCTGACTGGGAATCAAACCTCGATCCTTTGGTTCACGGGCCCACGCTCAGTCCACTGAGCTACACCAGCCAGTGCCCAACTCCTTTTCTGTTTGTTCCCTTTGCTATTCTCTCTCCTTCCTGTGCTCACAGACATTAACCTAAAAGCCGCTGTCACTTGAGCAGTGACGGGAATGCATGAGCTCCCCCAGCTCCCCAGCACCTTTATGTGGAGCAGAGCACTGTGCTTTTTACCACAGGACTCACGCCCTGTCAGTTCTGTCAACTCCAGTTGTGTGCACTTCCTGATACAGGGGCATCTGGTCGACAGGCTTCATTACTGTTCCTGGGGCTAGGCAGTGCCCAGGGATCTCGGGCAGGAGGGGGAAAAAGGGAAACACACAAGAAGGGCCAAATGGGAAGGTGGGAGAAGGCATTGACAGAAGGGGAAACCTGAAGTTGGACAAGCCCCAGCTCTAGCCACTGCCCTAAGCAGCTCCCGGTCCTCTGTTTGCTAAACAAACCGTAGTACCCTGGCTGCTTGCTGTACCCTGGTTGCTTTGGCAGTTACCAAATATGGACTGTACTGTTGAGGCCCAAGGGGGCCCCATAAATAGCACCCCTCCTTGGTACCCAAGTTCTGAATAAGTTAAAAAACATTTAACAGTGCAAGAGAGATGAAAATTCAAGACATCATCTCTATTACTCATAAATATAAAGTTGGAGGATATTGCTTCTAGATAGAGACACACGGGCTTCCCAACAGTGGATCCCAGAGTTAGACACACTTACTACTCCCTCCTCCCACTCCCATTTTAAGGAGGGCTGGGAAACTGCAGCACCTCTGCCCCATGGCGTGGGAGGGGCCTCTATGAAGCCCAGGGCAAGGAAGAGCAGAACAGAATGTGCACTCCTTCCAAAGAAGTGGAAGAGGAGCGAGCTGAGCTGCGCGTGCCAAAGCCAGGCAGGCGGTTTACTCCACACTCATCCTGAGGGTGAGTCAGTAGGACCCCCTGCACAGAGGTGAGTGAGGCAATGGAGAGAGGGCCAGGGGTGTTTCAGTGTTACTGCTCCCTCTGGGGGAAGGAAGTCAAGGAGCCGGCCTCCCTCTCCCCTCTCACGAGTCTTAGTTACCTTCTGTGCCGGCCTGGTTTGCATGGCGCTAAAGCCAAGCGCATGTTTCTTTCAGGAGATAACTGAAGAGGAAAGAGCCATGTCTAGGAAGGCCCTGAGAGACATCTTGGACCAAGTGTATCAACCATTAGCAGTTCGAGAGTTGCTTATCCTCCAGGGAGGGCCGCACCAGGTAGGTGTGCAGGCCGGGGGCACTTGTGGGTGAGTCACTAGTGATGGTGTGCAGTGTGCTGTGCTCTCCTGGGAAATCCAATAATTGAAGCAAATCTTACTTCATCTTTTCCATCATTAAATGGTATTTGTAAAACTAAATTTTACTGATTCTTAGGGTAGCTTAAAAGGATTTTTCTTTATGAAATGATGGACACTATTCCCAAGAATGTAGCAGTTTTATTTGAAATATATTTATTCATATTGAAACTAGAGGTTTTTGGTGCATTAAAAAAATTTTTTTTATTGATTATGCTGTTACAGTTGTTCTATTCCCCCCCTTCATTCCCCTCCACCCTACCCCCCGTCCCCACCATTACCCCCCTTTAGTTTATGTCCATGTGTCTCAAGTCCTTTAGATTCTATATTTCCCATGCTATTCTTGCCCCCCATCTATTTTCTATCTACTGTCTATGCTACTTATTTTCTGTACCTTCTCCCCCCTTCTCCTCCTCCCACTCCCCTGTTGCTAACCCTCCTTGAGATCTTCATTTCTATGTTTCCACTCCTGATCTAGCTGTCCTTTTAGTTTGCTTTTGTTTTAGGTGTGGTTGTTAATAACTCTGAGTTTGGTATCCTTTCACTGCTCATATTTTTTATCTTCTTTTTCTTCGATAAGTCCCTTTAGCATTTCATGTAATAAGGGCTTGGTGATGATGAACTCCTTGAATTTGATCTTATCTGAGAAGCACCTTATCTGTCCTTCCATTCTAAATGAGTTTTGCTGGATAGAGCAATCTTGGTTGTAGGTCTTTGGATTTCATGACTTGGAATACCTCTTTCCAGCCCCTTCTTGCCTGTAAGGTCTCTTTTGAGAAATCTGCTGACAGTCTGATGGGGACTCCTTTGTAGGTGACTGTCCCCTTAGCTCTTGCTGCTTCTAGGATTCTCTCCTTCATTTTAATCTTGGCTAATGTAATTATGATGTGCCTTGGTGTGTTCCTTCTTGGGTCCAACTTGTTTGGGACTCTCTGAGCTTCCTGGATTTCCTGGAAGTCTATTTCCTTTGCCAGCTTGGGGAAATTCTCCTTTATTATTTGTTCAAATAATTTTTCCACTGGTGGTTGTGCCTTTCCCCCTTCTGGTACCCCTATAATTCGGATGTTGGAGCGTTTAAAGATGTCCTGGAGGTTCCTAAGACTCTCCTCATTTCTTTGAATTCTTGCTTCTTGACTCTTTTCTGTTTGGCCATTATTTGCTTTCTTCTGGTCCACTCCATTGATTTGAGTCCCAGTTTCCTTTTCATTGCTATTGGTGTCCTGTGCAATTCCATTCATTTCAATTAGTTTCGCCTTCATATATTTGTCTAATTTGTGGCTATAATCAACCAGTTCTGTGAGGATCCTGATGACCAGTGTTTTAAACTGTGCGTCTGAGAGTTTTGCTATTTCTTCATCGCTTAGATGTATAGGCTCTGGGGCTTTGAGATCTTCTTGAGCCATTTTTGGTCTGTTCGAGCCCTTTAAGTGTGAGGAGCGGAGCCTTGGACTCCCAGGTCGCTGGGTTGTGATGCTGTATGTGGGGGCGTGGTCAGAGTGGGGAAATGGCGACCCCCCTCTGCTGTTTCGTGCAGCTGGGTGAGGAGCAGAGGCTTAGGTGGTTCACCTGGGCCGGGCCACTCAGAGTCGCTGGGTTATGACGCTGTATGTGGCGGTGGGGTCAGAGCAGGGAAATGGTGGCGCCCTCCCTGCCTCTTGCCGCGGGGACCCGCTGGGTCCCGGTCCAACCGCCCACTCCCTCGCACGAATGCGCGACCACAGTCAACCCGCAGCCCTGCTCCCTCGCTGTTTCCCTGCGGTCGCTCACTGGGTCGCTCACTAGGTCCAACCCTGTGCCTGGATTCTGCGCGCCTGAGTCCGTCTGACCGAGACCTCCTGTGCAACCCCGCTCCACCAGCTGCTGGTTTCGCCCCTTACCGGTCAGGCTGAAGAATTTGTTGTTAACAGACTTCCAAAAAGTTCGATTTTCTGTGTTCTGGCTGTGTTTTCTGTTGCTAATATTTAGTTGTCTATAAACTTGGTTGTGTAAGAAGGCACGGCACATCCACCTATGCCTCCATCTTGGCGGAAGTCTCTTGGTGCATTTTTAAAATTTAATTAATTTTCAACTACAGTATTCTGTCTTTTACTCCCCTTCCAGCCCACCCCCCGTGACCCCCGCCTCCCTCCCATTTCCAGCCCCCCGAAACTAGTTGTTTTTAAAGAGATTTATTCATTTATTTTTCAAGAGAAGTGGGGAGGGAGAGAGAGAGAAATATTGATGTGCTAGAGACACATTGATCTGTTACTGTTGCCTCTTTCATGTCCCTTACTGGGAACCTGGCCCACAACCCAGGCATGTACCCTGGCTGGGAACTGAACCTGTGACCTCCCAGTTTGCAGGCCAGCACTCAATCCACTGAGCTACACCAGCCAGAGTCTAGATATTTTTAAACTAAAATTTGGCTGTCCGACAATGCATTTTTGGGGTGGAACTATTTGGACATCTTATTCTTTGAATGGAGCATTTGAAGTCAAGAAATTAAAGTAAGAGCTATTATTGGGACTATTTTTAGCTCCTTTGAGAAACCGTAAAAGTATACATTCTACTAGGCATAAGATAGTTTCTTTTTTTTCCTTAAAAATAATTATTTATCTGAAATGACTGAATTTGAGGATGTAGATGGGAATTATCTATTTGCTTTTAGGACCTAAAGTTTAGTTATGAATCTCTGTGAGTAAAGCATGAGGGGGCAAAGGAATTGGCCGTAGGCCAGGAACAAGGACCAGCTGAAGCTGGCAGCAATGATACCTCGCAGGTGAAGTCATTTTCATCTCATCCTTAGAACAGTACTAGGCACCCCTCCCCCACCCCCCAACACTGGGCTCCTCAGGCGTCACACTCTACTCCTCTGAATGAACGAGTCCCTGGTTTGCCAGATTAAACCAAATGCATTATAATGACAGTGTGGTAAAAAGCAGAGACTCTGGAGTTAGGCACACTGGGATTCAACCCCTCTATGCAACTGTATGAATTAGTAGATCTTTCCATCCCTCAGTTTCCTCACCCATAAAATGGGCATGACAACAGTTGAGATTATGTGAGGGGTTCTTAGCACAGTGCCTGGTTACATGGTAACTCTCAATAAATGGTAATTATTGTTCCTCCTCAAATAAAAGAGAGAGGACAGGTTAGTTAGGATTAAATGTTTCTATTACTAACTTTGGGGCTCACATTGTTAAGTGCGGTGATGGACAGCACAGTGGTTAACATTTGTGCTCAAAATAAGGGACATCAAGACTATTCATGGGGCTCCATGGAGTTCTCAAAAAGAAGCCCTTGAAGAAACCCAGTTCTTTGTTGAAATTCCTGCGTCACCAGGAATCCCAGTAGTTCAGACCACGGAGGCAAGGCCTGCTTGCCCTCTCGCTGTCGAAAGCTGCCCTCCTGGTGGTGAGCGATGTTCACGGAGGCTCCTTTGGAAGCCGGATTCAGCTGGAAGGATTGTATCTGGAGACTGGTCACGTTAACCTTGTGTTCCCCAGAGCTGGATTTTATTTGCTGATGCATTTGTCTGTGTCTGGATTTCAAACTTCACTGGCTATTTCACTTGAAGTTTCACTATATTTTTACTTCCTTAAGAAGGTTTTGTAAATGAGAGTTCTTTCTTTTTTTAAAGGAAAAAAATGTCGCTTTTTTGAAGCCTGTATAGGATATTGTTCCTTGTCAGTCTGTCTCTATAGATGTACATTTTAATGATTTCTACACATCCTAACTATTTCCCTGGCATTCAGTTCATACCTTTCCCTTCCTTTTTCAGTCCAGCACAGATATGAAGACACCAGTTAGGTGTCGGGCCCCAGCCTGGCTTCGGCGTCTCTGTGGGCAGCTGCTGTCTGAAAGGCTGATGAGACCCGCCGGTGTTCAGGCAGTGGTCCGGGGCATTCTGGAAGGAGCAGGTGGTAAGCAATAAAACGTTTGTTGCTTTGGTGTATCCATTTTCCTTCAAGTCAGTGACCTATTGGTCTTCCACATTTGCCTTTAAAATCTGGTTAAACTATACTGTGTCTTTGCGGAGGTTAAGGAGGTTAGGCTTGGAAGTTAAACCTTAATGAATTTTTTTTCCAAAGAAACTCATTCTCTTGCCATTTTTCTAAAACAGTCTTGATATACTTACTACTCACAGCATTGAATTAATTGTCAGCCTTTACAAATGATTTGTAAGAAGAAACCATTGCACAGAACGTTTAAGTAAAACCCTGAAGACAACGTGAAATTATCAGTGGAAAGGGGGCTTTGTAGCAGGTGCCAGGAGGACTTCCCCTCAGGGCTTCAACCACAAAATAGAGATCTTGAAGCTGGACATTCCTCAGAGATGCGTTGGGATGAGGTTTTAGATTCATTTACACAGTTATATTCTCCTTTTTTGTAAGATTTTATTTATTAATCTTTTTAGAGAGAGGGGAAGGGAGGGAGAAAGAGAGGGAGAGAAACATCAATGTGTGGTCGCACTCGTATGCCCCCTACTGGGGATCCAGCCTGCGACCCAGGCGTGTGCCCTGACTGGGAATCTAACTGGTGACCCTGTACTTTGCAGGCTGGTGCTCAATCTACTGAGCCACACCAGTCAGGGCTCCACAGTTATATTCTCTAAGTCCTCATTAATAGAAAAAAGTTAATTATGTGAAGCATGGTATATTTTCATTTATATCTCTTTTATTTTTTTAAACAAAAGTGTACATGCTCATAGTAAAGAGTTTAATAGATTGACAAGGCTGGTAGAGAAAAACAGTGGTCCTTTCACGAATCTGCTCTGTTTCCCATCCCCAGAAGCAACCACTTTGAACTCTTTTAGAGAGTTTTTCTGATACTTACCTCTGTATTTCTAATTACAATGCCTACATAGCACCTGCATCACTCCTCAGTCTTAGGAATCATCTAGTAACTTCTCACCGTGTGTGGAAAAGGATTTTGTTCGCTTTCACAACCCTGCCATCATTCCCCCAAGCATGCTTTCCATCTCCTCCATAGCCATATCCTAATTTGGCTATCAGTACTCAGTGTTTGTAGTACTGAGTACTGATAGGTCAGTACTCAGTGTTTGTAGTGCTGAGTACTGATAGGTCAGTACTCAGTGTTTGTAGTGCTGAGTACTGATAGGTCAGTACTCAGTGTCTGTAGTCCTCTGACGATGTGATTATTTTTTTTACAGCTAAGCTATGTAGTATATTATGACTTTTTTTTGTCCAACTTCTGTACTTCCTGGGGTTCATAGCTAGTCTATTTTGTTTTTTATAGTTAGTCTGTTTTGTTTTTTATGGAGTCGTCACTAATCTGTTTTCACACTTCCCCCCAGTTGTTCAGTACATTCAGACACTCCAGGTGTTCTGTCCGTTTCATCTTGGAGACTGCGCTCTGGCCCTCTCTACTCCAGGTTAGGTACCTTCTACTGGCCGCCATCCCAGGCTCTCCCTTCACCTTTATCCTGGTGATCCTGTTTCCTCTTTTTGGTGTTCATTTCCTTATTTCTTGTATCCTCTGCATTTTCTACCAAGTTACCACAAACTTAGTAGCTTTTGTTGGAAAATGACATTTAAACTGAACCCTGAGGGTTGAGTTGGGATTTACCAGCTGATGAGTGAGGGAAGACTGTTGTGGGCATGTGCGAAGGAACACAGGAAAGAGCCCAGTGTTTTGAGGAAGTTTTGGTGAGGACAGACAGTGGTGTGACGGGGAGGGGGCGGTGGCCACATCATGGAGGCCTGTGCACCCGGTCAGTGTTTCAGACTTGACTGAGGGCGGTGAGAAACCACTGGAACCTTTTTAAGTAGGAGAGAGACATGCCGAAGCCTTCATTTTAGAGATATCTGTCTGGATGGTTGGTGAAGAACGGCTGGGTAAGAGCAGGAGCAGGGGCGTCAGTTAAGAAGCAGTCGTCTGAGAGATCACCGTGGCTCAGTCAGCGGTGGCCGTGGAGATGGCGATGCTGGAGGAGAGAGGACAGAGGAGGATCAGTCTCGACTTCCCACTTCCCATCCTACTGGCAAAGATGAGGCCGGTGTGCTTGGCAGACTGATGGGTTCGATCTGGAATGGCCGCAGTGTTGCCTGCCCAGTTCTGCCTGCAGAGGCTTCTGGGGCCAGTGCAGTGGAAGGTTATCCGTTACCTGTGAGAAGTCAAGCCGCTCTCTTCCGGGATGCAGTTGTTTTCTTGGAATCAGTTTGACCTGTTTTCTTGGAATCAGTTTGAATCAAGGGGTTGACCTGGCTTTTTTTATCTTTTTGAGAATTTTTATAAGAGTTTATTTGAGCCAAACTGAGGACGTGTGCCAGGGAGCAAGATCTCAAGTGCTCCTTGATCCTGTCTTTTAAGCCTTATTACTGTGGGTCTAGAGCAGCCTTGAATCTGAGGCAATGTGGCCGCACTTTTAAGGCAGTAAGTAGCCTTCTGAGATTGGGCTTGATGCCCTGTGTGTTAGGAGGCCTCCCTGCTCACCAGCGGGAACACAAACTTCTCAGCCCTGTGCCAGCTCCGGGGTTTGTTCCTCTTACTCCATTCTAGTTGTTCTTGCCTCAGCCTTTGGCTTTTCTTCTCACACACATGATTATATGATGCAGATAAAGAGAAATAATACTATTAATAGCAATAAAAAAACAAGAAGAATCTAGTACAGAAAGTCTCTGAATAATGTCAGTTCATTCGGTGCTGTTTTATTATAATGTTGATGAGGTGTCCTAGAAGCTGAACTAATTGTTTATATCAATTAGCCTATGGTAAAACTGGTCTCATTACACATCATTTCACTTAAAGCTGCACAACTTGTTGAAGACATTAAATGAGGACATACTGTATTCAGTAATATGAATAATATTTCAGTGAGTAAGTGCTATTTTTTTCTCCGAACTTCTCCGAATCCAACATGGAAAGAAAAGTACAGAGGGGCAGGTTATCTTGTAGAAAGAATAAACAATTTTCAGTAGAGAAAAGGCACCCTCTGCCCTAAATTTTAAGGACCTTTATGGGAGGCTGCTATAAGTTTTTAAAACTTTATTTATTTATCTTTAGAGGGGAAGGGAAGGAGAGAAGGAGAGAAATATCAATGTATGGTTGCCTCTCGTGCATCCCCTGCTGGGAACTGGCCTGCAACTCAGGCATGTGCCCTGACTGGGAATCGAACTGCGATCGTGTGGTTCTCAGGCCCGCGCTCAATCCACTGAGCTACACCAGCCAGGTCCTGCTATAAGTTTTTGACATCTCCATCCATCACTGACAGCGGGGGCGGCTGGTGGGAGTGACGCAGAGGCGACAGCTGCTGACTGGAAGAAGTGCGACCTGATTGCAAAGATTCTGGCCTCTTGTCCCCAGCAGTCTCTTTCCCCAGAGGATTACTACAGGGATATCTGCCCCCAGGTAAATCGCTTTGTTTCTTTATTTTATTTTATTTTTTTAATATATTTTTTTAAGATTTTATTTATTTATCTTTAGAGGGGAAGGGAAGGAGAGAGGGACAGAGACATCAATGTATGGTTGCCTTTCATGCGTCCCCTGCTGGGAACTGGCCTGCAGGGAACTGGCCTGCAACCCCGGTATGTGCCCTGACTGGGAATTGAACCGCGATTGTCTGGTTCACAGACCCGCGCTCAATCCACTGAGCTACACCAGCCAGGGCTTTTAAATATGTCTTATTGATTATGCCATTACAGTTGTCCCATTTACCCCCTTCATTCCCCTCCACCCTGCACACCCCTCTCCCACCATTCCCCCCTTTAGTTCATGTCCATGTATCACAAGTTCTTTAGATTCTGTATTTCCCATACTATTCTTACCCTTCCCCCTGTGTATTTTCTACCCACCGTCTATACTACTTATTCTCTGTACCTTCTCTCCCCTTCTCCTCCTCCCGCTCCCCTGTTGTTAAGCCTCCATGTGATCTCCATTTCTATGGTTCTGCTCCTGATCTAGCTGTCCACTTAGTTTGCTTTTGTGTTCGGTGTGGTTGTTAATAACTGTGAGTTTGCTGTCCTTTCACTGTTCATATTCTTTATTTTCTTTTTCTTATAATAAGGGCTTGGTGATGATGAACTCCTTGAACTTGACCTTATCTGAGAAGCACTTTATCTGCCCTTCCATTCTAAATGAAAGCTTTGCTGGATAGAGCAATCTTGGATGTAGGTCCTTGCATTTCATGACTTGGAATATTTTTTCCAGCCCCTTCTTGCCTGTAAGATCTCTTTTGAGAACTCAGCTGACAGTCTGATGGGAACTCCTTTGTAGGTGACTGTCCCCTTATCTCTTGCTGCTTCTAGGATTCTCTCCTTCATTTTAATCTTGGCTAATGTAATGATGATGTGCCTTGGTGTGTTCCTTCTTGGGTCCAACTTCTTTGGGACTTTCTGAGCTTCCTGGATTTCCTGGAAGTCTATTTCCTTTGCCAGATTGGGGAAATTCTCTTTTATTATTTGTTCAAATAAGTGTTCCACTGGTGGCTGTTCCTCTTCCCCTTCTGGTACCCCTATAATTTGGATGTTGGAATGTATAAAGATGTCCTGGAGGTTCCTAAGCCTCTCCTCATTTTTTTGAATTTTTGTTTCTTCATATTTTTCTGTTTGGTCATTTTTATCCTCCTTCTGGTCTGCTCCCTTGATTTGAGTCCCAGTTTCCTTTCCATCACTATTGGTTTTCTGTGCATTACCATTCATTTCAATTAGTTTAGCCTTCATATGTTCCTCTAATTTGTGACTAAAATCAACCAGTTCCGTGAGCATCCTGATCACCATTGTTTAGAACTGTGCATCTGAAAGTTTGGCTATTTCTTCATCACTTAGATTTATTGGCTCTGGGGCTCTGAGTTGTTCTTGAGCCATGTTTTGATCTGTTTATGCCTGTTATGTATGAGGGGCGGAGCCTTAGGTGTTCATGAGGGCAGGGCTACCCAGGTCGCTAGGCTGTGATGCTGTATGTGGGGGCTGGTCAGAGAGGGGTAATGGTATTTTTTTCTGCTCTGCTCTGTCTCGGATTTTGATCCCGTTTGCCGCTTCCTGCAAGCAAACTGGGCCCCCCTGGTGCCGGCTCTTGGGTATGTGGGCCTGTGCAACCTCCAGGACCCTCTGGGTCTCTCCAACAAACTCTCTGTGAGCCTGGGAGCCTTTCCTGGCACCTCCACCCCCGAAAGTTTTTCCAGTTGGTGCTTTTAGGCTTTATTTCCTTGGACTGGGGCCCTGGTTTGTGAGGTCTGTCTCACTGCTCGCTCCTTGGTTTATCTATGCAAATGTGTGACTGCGGTCAGCCAGCCGCCTTGCGCCCTCACTGGGTCTGCTCGTTGCCACCCCACGCCTGGGATCTGCCAACCACTGCCTGCGCACTTGGGTCGGTTGGCCGCTTTTTTCTGCTGTGACCTCGCTCCGCCAGCCGCCAACTCTGCCCCTCTTACCCGTCTGTATGAATGGTTCATTGTTGTTGGACTTCTATACGGTTCAGTTTTCTCTGTTTTGGTTGTATTCTGGTTTCTAAATCTTTGCTGTTCATAAACTTGGTTGTGCAAGGAGGTACAGTGTTTCCACCTACACCTCCATCTTGGCTGAAAGTCCATTTTGTTTCTTTTGAACCTTTGAGGATTATCTGCTTATTTACAGAAAAAGAACTTTTAATATTCTTCTAACATTGAGGTAAGAGCAATGTAATGTATATTTTTTAAATTTAGTTTTAGAGAGCAGGGAAGGGAGGGAGAAAGATGGAGAGAAACATTAATGTGTGTGTGGTTGCCTCTCGAATGCCCCCCCTACTGGGCACCTGGCTCTAAATCCAGACATGTGCCCTGACTGGGAATTGAACCAATGACCCTTTGGTTCACAGACCAGCGCTCAATCCACTGAGCCACACTAGCCAGGGCTCTGTGTGTTTTTAATTATTTAAAAAGTTGATACTAAATAAACAAGGTAAATTAATATGGTACCCAATTTAAAATCACAAAAGAGTAAACAGAAAAGTAAGCTTTCCTCTCACTTCTGTTTCTTAGTCCGTCAGAAGTACTATTACTAATTTCTTGTGTATTTTTCAGAGAGATTCTGTGTATTAGGTATATACAACTATATGTGTATATATAGTATAATTTCTATCAAAGTGATTAACATGCCACACACGCTGTTTTTCATTTTGCTTTTTTTAAAGTTGTTTTTTAAAGATTTTATTTATTTTTAGACAAAGGGGAAAGGAAGGAGGAAGAGAGGGAGAGAAACATCAATGTGTGGTTGCCTCTCATGCGCCCCCTACTGGGGACCTGGCCCACAACCCAGGCATGTGCCCTAGACTGGGAATTGAACTGGTGACCCTTTGGTTCGCAGACCCATGCTCAATCCACTGAGCTACACCAGCTCTGGCTCATTTTGCTTTATTAACTTAACAGTGTATCTTGGAGATTATTTCATAAAGTCATTTTGTATAGAGCTGTCTCATTTTCATGGGTACATAGTATTTCATCACATTAATGTATCATAATTTACTTAACCAATCTCCTAATGGATATTTCAGTTATTTTTATTATTTGGCTATTACAAGCCACGCTGCAGTTAATATTCACAAATCTTACACCATAGGAAAAATTTCTAGAATTGAAATGACCAGTTCAAAGGGTATAAACAGTTACGTGAATTTTTAACTGACCGTATTTATCTGTTTTCCTATTCTTTTGCCTATACAACGTGTGATAAAACCTTTCTGTCTTTGCTAATCTGATAGGTGAAAATTGTGGAAGGAGTTTCTTAATCAGTAGTCCCCCTGTGTTTAGATGTGAGACAGTGGATTTTGAAGAACAGTCCAGAAGAAAGTCGGTCATCTTACAGGACAAAGTCAGCGTGTACTGTGATGAATAAAGTTTCTGAAACTAGTCACTGTAGTGTTGGCAAAATGATAAAATCGACTCATAGGTTTTAGGCTTGCTGAGTCTCCTTTGGGCAGTGTCAGAGGGCACAGGGATTCTCTTGCCTGCAAAAAATGCAAAAGTCACTTTTAAGTCAGGGACAGAAATACACTTTTCTGTCAGTTTATTATAGACTGGGCTAAACCCTCTCAGGCACTGGAAATCCAGGTTTGTCTTTGAGAATAAAATAGCTGTTGTCTGGGCTAGTTTGAAACAATGGACACTCTTCAGAGTCTAAATATATTTATATGTATTGACTCAGTAAATTCATTTGGTGGTGCTATTTATAATAGTAAAATTTGGGGAGAAATGGAATGTCTAGATATAATGTTTTTGAAGAATTTATAACATACCCCGGCTGGTATGGCTCAGTGGATGGAGTGCCCACCTGTGAACCAAAGGGTCGCTGGTTTGATTCCCCGTCAGGGCATGTGCCCGGGTGGCAGGCCAGGTCTTCAGTAGGGGGCGCACAAGAGGCAACCACAGTTGAGGTGTCTCTCCCTGTTTCTCCTTCGCTTCCCTCTCTCTAAAAGTAAATAAACAAAATCTAAAAAAAAAAGAATTTATAAAATATGAGAAGTCAGTAATACACAAAACTGAGTATTAAGTATAGCCCCAGTTAAGAAGGAAAATGAATTATACAGAAATATATTGGGAAAAATATACCCAAAATGATTATAGTGATTTAGGAAGATTTCATTTTGTTCTGGAAACTTTATTTTTCTAATTTTTGACAGTGAGCATCCATTTTATATATTTGATAAAATTGTTTAATAAAACATAGTCTCTTCAGTTCCCACAGCCTTTGATACTGGATTGTTAAATTTATTTTATTCTGTTTTGATTTTTTTTTAAGAGAGAGAGGAGGGGGAGGGGGATGGAGAGAGTGAGATCTCTCTGTGTTCTACTCATTTCTGCATTCATTGGTTGATTCTTGTATGTGCCCTGACTAGAGATGGAGCCTGCGACCCTGGCATATTGGGACTGTGCTCTACCCAACTGTCTTACTTGTCCAGGACCTTGAGTTGTTAAAATGGAAAAAAAAAATGATTTTGTTGAGTCAATGTTATTGCAGTGAATTTATCTTTGGGCTTAAAGAAATTAGTGTTTTCTCAGTTAATGTAATGCCCCTTGTGAAGAGCCTGGTATTTACTTCATGTACTTTTTCTTTTAGATTCTGGATTTATTCCACTTTCAAGATAAATTGACAGCGCGACAATTTCAGAGAGTGGCCACCACCACCTTCATCACTATGTCAAGAGAACGCCCACAACTGGCGGCGAAGTACTTGCTCCAGCCAGTGTTAGCGCCTCTGCGTCGGTGTCTGAGTACAGCAGGTAAAGGAGGAGGGTCGGCGACCGGGTCCCTGCAAGTGACTTCTGTCTGTGATAGTTCAGTGTCTTCAGTTTTACCTTTTCCCCCCAACTTTTTATTTTGATAAATCTATTTCACGTCAGTTCAGGGAAGAGTACAGTGGACTGTCCCTGTACACTTCACCTGGATTAACCAACTGTTAGTTTCTGGCCACATTTGCTTTATGTTCTCTTTTTCTATACATGTACATGTTTTTCTGAAACATTTGAGAGTTAGTTGTAGACATCGTCTGTTTACAGAATTTATTCAGATTTCTCTGATTGTCCCATGAATTTCTTTTATAGATATATTTTTTAAAAAATCCAGAATCCAGTCAAGAATCAGGCATTACATTCACTTATGTCTTTTCAGTTTCCTTCAATGTAGAATAGTTCCTTAGTTTTTTGTCTTTCACCACGACATTGTTGAAGAGCCCAGGTTATAGAATGTTCCTCTCTTTGTGTTTGTCTAATTATTCCCTTGTGATTAGATCCAGGTTATACACTTCAGCAGGAATATGACATAGGAGGATGTTTTTTTTCTCAGTCTCCCTCACTTTAAGGGGTGTGTGTTATCAGTTTATCCCATTATTAGCAATGTTACATGTGATTATTGGATTAAGGGGTTAGCACACAGATTTCTCCATTGTACAGATACCTTCCTGCCTATGTAATTAGTCTTTTTTTTTTTTAGTTTTTTTTTTAATTTTTTAAATAAATTTATTTATTTTTTTTGAATTGATTATGCTGTTACAGTTGTTCTATTCCCCCCTTCATTCCCCTCCACCCTGCCCCCCCAACCCCACCATTCCCCCCCTTTAGTTTATGTCCATGTGTCTCAAGTCCTTTAGGTTCTATATTTCCCATACTATTCTTGCCCCCCCCATCTATTTTCTATCTACTGTCTATGCTACTTGTTTTCTGTACCTTCTCCCCCCGTCTCCTCCTCCCACTCCCCTGTTGCTAACCCTCCTTGAGATCTTCATTTCTATGTTTCCACTCCTGATCTAGCTGTCCTTTTAGTTTGCTTTCCTTTTTAGGTGTGGTTGTTAATAACTGTGAGTTTGTTGTCCTTTCACTGTTCATGTTTCTTTAACTTCTTTTTCTTAGATAAGTCCCTTTAACATTTCATATAATAAGGGCTTGGTGATGATGAACTCCTTGAATTTGGTCTTATCTGAGAAGCACCTTATCTGTCCTTCCGTTCTAAATGAAAGTTTTGCTGGGTAGAGCAATCTTGGTTGTAGGTCTTTAGATTTCATGACTTGGAATATTTCTTTCCAGCCCCTTCTTGCCTGTAAGGTCTCTTTTGAGAAATCTGCTGACAGCCTGATGGGGACTCCTTTGTAGGTGATTGTCCCCTTAGCTCTTGCTGCTTCCAGGATTCTTTCCTTCATTTTAATTTTGGCTAATGTAATTATGATATGCCTTGGTGTGTTTCTTCTTGAGTCCAACTTTTTTGGTACTCTCTGGGCTTCTTGGATTTCTTGGAAGTCTATTTCCTTTGCCAGATTGGGGAAATTTTCTTTTATTATTTGTTCAAATAGTTTTTCCACTGGTGGTTGTGTCTTTCCTCCTTCTGGTACCCCTATAATTCGGATATTGGAGCGTTTATAGATGTCCTGGAGGTTCCTAAGCTTCTCCTCATTTTTCTGAATTCTTATTTCTTCATTCCTTTCTGTTTGATGATTTTTTTCTTCTTCCTTCTGGTCCACTCCATTGATTTGAGTCCCAGTTTTTTTTCATCTCTATGGTTTTCCTGTGGAATTCCATTCATTTCCCTTAATTTAGCCTTCATATGTTTCTCTAATTTGTGGCTATAGTCCACCAGATCTGTGAGGAAGCTGATGACCAGTGTTTTAAACTGTGCGTCTGAGAGATTTGCTATTTCTTCGTCACTTAGATTTATCTCTGGGGCTTTGAGGTCTCCCTGCGACATTTTTGGTCTGTTCTGGCCCTTTAAGTGGGAGGAGCGGCGCCTTGGATTCCCAGGTCGCTGGGTTGTGACGCTGTATGTGGGGGCGTGGTCAGAGCGGGGAAATGGCGCCGCTGCCGCCTCCGGTCCAAGCGCTCACTCCCTCACCTGTGTGCAACCAGGCAACCACAGTCAACTTGCTGCCACCGCCTCCCCACTGTCTCCTCCGTAGTCGCTCACCCGGTGGGCCGCTCGGTCGCTCACTAGGTCCAATCCTGGGTCTGGAACCCGTGCGACTGGATTCGCGTGTCTGGATTCCACGCCCGCGTCGATCGAGCCCTCCCCTGTATCTCCTCACCCGACGCCGGTCTCGCCCCTTACCGGTTGGGCCGAAGAACTTGTTGTTAGTGGACTTCCGAAAAGTTCAGTTTTCCGTGTTCTGGTTGTGTTTTCTGATGCTAATATTTAGTTGTCCCTAAACTTGGTTGTGGGAGGAGGCACGGCACATCCACCTTAAACCTCCATCTTGGCGAAGTCCTGTAATTAGTCTTGTATGGAATGGTAGTCTGAGACTGTGTGACCACTGTTCCCCAGTGTCTTTCATGCTGTGACTTAGCATCCATTGGTGAGTCTTGCCGATAAAATGGTGACCTTCTGCCTCTTTTGCTGCTTCCGTTTTGTTAAATGGTTTTCTGTAAAGGTCTTTTCCTTCTCCCTACCTCACCCCTTTTTAAATAATAATTACTTGTCAGTATAGATTTATAGATTTCTTTTTTAATCGGTTACCAAGCGTTCCTGTCACTCATTTTGCTGCCCATATTTTCCCATATTTGGCCATTGGGTTTAGTTCTGTTTTAATGTTTTAAAAGATTGGCATTTTCGCCACTTCCCTTATTATGTTTTTATGCCTTATTGAGTTTAATGCTGGGATGCTGAGTATCATTGTAGCATTCTTAGTGATTTAAAAAAATTTCTAGATAGTAGTTCCTAAGGTTAAAAATGAAAAAAAAACCAAAAAACTTTGGTGTTACGGTTAAACCTAAGTTAGGTCTGTGTAGACTTTGTGTGGCAGTCATTTTGTAGCGGGAATTTTTCTGGGTGTTTGTGGCGGGATAAGGTGGCAAGGGGTGGAGACAGTCTAATTCTTTTACACAGTAAATCTTTACCTGGTGGAGCCTTTGTGAAATGAAAGTTATTTGGACAAACATGATATTTGAGCGAATACTTAAAATTCTTTTATATGTTTAATGGGAATCTAGGAATCCTAGAATCAGTATATTCTTCACAAAATGGCTTAAAAAATGAATTCTTATTTTTGTTGGCCTCAGTGAAGGTAATTTTGGTTTTTGTTCTCTAGAGATTCCAGAGAGTGACATGGTGCCAGGGACCATTTTGGTGACAGAAGAAGAACTTAGTAGATGTATTGAGGATGTATTTAAGGTTGGTACTTTGAGTCACTAGTGTTTTTAGCTATATTTGTACTTAATCTTTTAAAATTATTTTGTCACCCCGGCCGGGTCGCTCAGTTGGTTAGAGCATTGTCTTGATCTGCCGAGGTGGTGGGTTTGTTCTCCGTCCCCTCAGGGCACACACGAGAAGCAACCAATGAATGCAAACAGAAGTGGAACAACAGATGGACATTTCTCTTTCTTTTTCTCAAATCAATAAATAAAATTTAACAAATGAAATAATTTTGCCCTTTTAATTGGTACTTTAAGAATTAGAATGATTAATCTTAAATTCCAAATTGTAAATCTTTTCACTTTAAAATTTTATTTATTTATAGGGAGAGGAGAAGGGAGAAGGAGGGAGAGAAATGTCAGTTGGCTGCCTCTTGCATGTCCCCAACTGAGGACCTAGCCCTCCACTCAGGCATGTGTGCTGACCAGGATATGAACTGGCGACTTTCCAGTTTGCATGCAGGCTGACATTCAAACCACTGAGCCTCACCTGCCAAAGCTAAATCTTTTCACTTTTTGAAATCAGAAACCATAAGATGTTAGTGAATAAAACCAATAGATTGGAATTCTTTTTTATTTTATAGACTTTAGAGAGGAAGGAACAGACAGAGAGAGAGAAACATCGATTTGTTGTTCCATTTATTTATGCATTCATTGGTTGATACTTTTTTTTTTAAGATTTTATTTATTTATCTTTAGAGGGGAAGGGAAGGAGAGAAGGAGAGAAATATCAATGTATGGTTGCCTCTCATGAGTCCCCTCCTGGGAACTGGCCTGCAACCCAGGCATGTGCCCTGACTGGGAATCGAATCGTGATCCTGTGGTTCACAGGCCCGCGCTCAATCCTCTGAGCCACACCAGCCAGGCCTGCATTCATGGGTTGATTCTTGCATGTGCCCTGGCTGGGGATCAAACCTGCAACATTGGGGTATCGGGATGACACCCTGGCTGGTGTAGCTCAGTGGATTGAGCGCGGGCCTGTGAACCAAAGGATCGAGGTTTGATTCCCAGTCAGGGCACATGCCTGGGTTGCAGGCCAGTTCCAGCAGGGGATACACGAGAAGCAACCATACATTGATATTTCTCTCCCTCTCTCCTTCCCTTCCCCTCTAAAGATAAATAAAATCTAAAAAAGAAAAAAAAAGAAGTCTGAACAAATGAATCCTGCAAATGACTTATCTAAATATATACTTAAAAAAATATAAATTGCATATTATATTCTGATATGAATTAAATGTGTATTTGTAGGCAAAAATAAAATCCATTGTGTTAGGGCCAGGTGGACTTGGAGTAAATACTCTTTTTTAATGTGATTTTCAGTAAATTTACAGTAGAATTTTACTATAAAAAATATTAACAAGAGGCCCTGGGTGGTGTGGCCCAGTGGGTTGATCACTGGCCTGTGAATCAAAAGGTCACCAGTTCAGTTCCCAGTCAGGGCACGTGCCTGGGTCCGCAATTGGGGGTGTGCAAGAGGCAACTAATCAATGTTTCTCTCTCACATCTATGTTTCTCTCCCTCTCCTCCTCCCTCCCTTCCCTTCTCTGTAAAAATAAGTAAATAAAATCTTAAAAAAAAAAATTTACAAGAGTAAACAACTTTTAAAGCTGTGCTCCATCTAAAAAGGTGCAGCCACTTTGGAAAATACTTTGGCGGTTTCTCACCAAGGTAAACATGGAGCTGTGTGGCCCAGCAGCTCCGCTCCTTAGTGTCTACTCCAGAAAATGAAAACATGTTCACACGCAAGTCTATACAGGAATGTTCACGGCAGCACTGTTCATAACAGCTAAAGCACGGAAACTACCCAAATGTCTATCAACAGATGAATGGATAAACGAATGTGATATAGCCACATAATATACTGTTTTTTAGCCACAAGAAGAAATGTAGTATGGATACATATCACAACAGATGAACATTTAAAAATTATAATAAAAAAATTTAAAAAAGAAGCCAGACACCAAAGACCACACATTGTATAATGCCATTTGTCTGAAATGCTCAAGATAGGCAAATTCATAGAGACGGAAAGGAGATCAGTGGTTGCTGGGGGTTGCGGCAGAGAATTGGGAGTAACTGCGCATGAGTATGGGGTTTCTTTTTTATTTTTTTTAATTTTTTTATTGATTATGCTGTTACAGTTGTTCTATTCCCCCCCTTCATTCCCCTCAACCCTACCCGCCCGTCCCCACCATTACCCCCCCTTTAGTTTATGTCCATGTGTCTCAAGTCCTTTAGATTCTATATTTCCCATGCTATTCTTGCCCCCCATCTATTTTCTATCTACTGTCTATGCTACTTATTCTCTGTACCTTCTCCCCCTTCTCCTCCTCCCACTCCCCTGTTACTAACCCTCCTTGAGATCTTCATTTCTATGTTTCCACTCCTGATCTAGCTGTCCTTTTAGTTTGCTTTTGTTTTAGGTGTGATTGTTAATAACTGTGAGTTTGCTGTCCTTTCACTGTTCATGTTTCTTTAACTTCTTTTTCTTAGATAAGTCCCTTTAACATTTCATATAAGGCTTGGTGATGATGAACTCCTTGAATTTGACCTTATCTGAGAAGCACTTTATCTGTCCTTCCATTCTAAATGAAAGTTTTGCTGGATAGAGCAATCTTGGTTGTAGGTCTTTAAATTTCATGACTTGGAATATCTCTTTCCAGCCCCTTCTTGCCTGTAAGATCTCTTTCGAGAAATCCGCTGACAGTCTGATGGGGACTCCTTTGTAGGTGACTGTCCCCTTAGCTCTTGCTGCTTCTAGGATTCTCTCCTTCAGTTTAATCTTGGCTAATGTAATGATGATGTGCCTTGGTGTGTTCCTTCTTAGGTCCAACTTCTTTGGTACTCTCTGAGCTTCCTGGATTTCCTGGAAGTCTGTTTCCCTTTGCCAACTTGGGGAAATTCTCCTTTATTATTTGTTCAAATAAGTTTTCCATTGGTGGCTGTGCCTTTCCCCCTTCTGGTACCCCTATAATTCGGATGTTGGAGCGTTTAAAGATGTCCTGGAGGTTCCTAAGACTCTCCTTATTTCTTTGAATTCTTGCTTCTTGACTCTTTTCTGTTTGGCCATTATTTGCTTTCTTCTGGTCCACTCCATTGATTTGAGTCCCAGTTTCCTTTTCATTGCTGTTGGTTTCCTGTGCAATTCCATTCATTTCAATTAGTTTCGCCTTCATGTATTTGTCTAATTTGTGGCTATAATCAACCAGTTCTGTGAGGATCCTGATCACCAGTGTTTTAAACTGTGCGTCTGAGAGTTTTGCTATTTCTTCATCGCTTAGATGTATAGGCTCTGGGGCTTTGAGATCTTCTTGAGCCATTTTTGGTCTGTTCGAGCCCTTTAAGTGTGAGGAGCGGAGCCTTGGACTCCCAGGTCGCTGGGTTGTGACGCTGTATGTGGGGGCGTGGTCAGAGTGGGGAAATGGCGGACCCCTCTGCTGTTTCTCACAGCTGGGTGAGGAGCAGAGGTTTAGGTGGTTCACCTGGGTCGGGCCACTCAGAGTCGCTGGGTTATGACGCTGTATGTGGAGGTGGGGTCAGAGCAGGGAAATGGTGGCGCCCTCCCTGCCTCTAGCCGCAGGGACCCGCTGGGTCCTGGTCCAATCACCCACTCCCTCGCTTGTCTGTCTGCGCACCAGTGCGTGACCACAGTCAACCCGCAGCCCTGCTCCCTCGCTGTTTCCCCGAGGTTGCTTGCTTGGTCGCTCGCTCAGTTGTTCACTAGGTCCAACCCTGTGCCTGGATTCCGCGTGTCTGAGTCCGTCTGACCGAGTTTTCCTGTGCAACCCCGCTCTACCAGCTGCTCCACCGGTCAGGCTGAAGAATTTGTTGTTAACAGACTTCCAAAAAGTTTAATTTTCTGTGTTCTGGCTGTGTTTTCTAATATTTAGTTGTCTCTAAACTTGGTTGTGTGAGAAGGTACGGCATATCCACCTATGCCTCCATCTTGGCGGAAGTCTGGGGTTTCTTTTTGATGCAAGGAAAATGTTCTTGAATTAGGTAGTGGTGATGTTGATACAACCTCGTGAACATACTAAAAACCACCGGACTAGACATTTTAAGAGAGTGAATTTTATGGCATGTGAATTATATCTCAATAATTAAAAAATGTATATTCCACACTTCTCATTTCTTTTCTATGGCAGTAAATTAAACATTCTAGAGTAACTTTTCAAATTTTAGTATATTATGAAATATAATAGTTCAAACATACAAAAAGTATGATGAGTAAAACACTCATATGCCCAGCACTCAGCTGAAGTTCTCTGCCTGCTCATCCCTGCTCTTGTTTCCCTTGCTTCCCACCTGAAGGGAGTCGCTGTCCTGAATTTGTATTTATTATTCTGTAAGTTATTTGTAGTGTTGTTGTGTATGATTTTAAATGTATTTATTTTTAATTTTTTATTGTATTTATTTTTATTTTAAAAAATATTTTAATTTATTTTTACAGAGAGGGGAAGGGAAGGAGGAAGAGTGGGAAAGAAACATCAATGTGTGGTTGCCTCTCACGTGTCCCCTACTGGGGACCTGGCCTGCAACCCAGGCATGTGCCCTGACTGGGAATCGAACCAGTGACCCTTTGCTTCACAGGCCCATGCTCAATCTACTGAGCTACGCCAGCCAGGGCTGTATTTTTTTATTTTTAGAAAGAGGTGAAGGGAGGGAGAAAGAGACAAAGAGAAACATCAATGTGTGGTTGCCTATTGCACACCTCCAACTGGGGGCTTGGCCCGCATCCCAGGCTTGCGCCCTGACTGGGAATTGAACCGGCAACATTTTGGTTTGTAGGCCAGTGCTCAATCCCCTGAGCCGCACTAGCCAGGGCTGATTTTAAATTTATTTAAATGACATTGTAATGTAAATGACTTTATTTCATTCATTTTCACTACTAGATGTTACTCCATTATATGACTATATCACCATGTATTTGTTCATTATTCTATTGGGAGACATTTGAGTTGTTTCCATGGAGTTTTTGCC